AATGATGTAACAAATTTCTTCTGCGTCACACTCGGCGTATGTGTAATATGCTGAAATGCTTACGTTGTGGCGACTGCCTAAGTCGGCGGCTTCGTTGAACGTCCGACAACACCCACGATACGATACGTTGACAGACATCCGACACACATGGCAGCCGTTAACGCCATTTAACATATTTACACTTAAAGTGGAATTTATTTGCAGCTACACCCTTCATTCTACTCTCACCAGCCAAATGGTCGACGACCAGCAAACGATAACTAAAGCCGGTAGCAGCCCCTGCGGTTGGCAAGACGAGCTGAAAAGCCAATGTCAAGCTGCCTTTGCGGCTGCCAAGTGCCAGCTGACGTGTCGCGGCTCAAGTTTTGTTTTTATCAAAACATGGCACGAGGGAAAGTGTTAAAGCGACATTCCTATAACGACATTGTAAAACAGTTTTAGCTTTAGCCGAATATACAAACATACAAAGTATACATATGTCAGACAAACAAAGATATTATGCACTAAGTGGAGTTAGGCACATGGAAATAGCCTTGTTGCGCATGTCGTTTGGCTCTTCCTTCGTCCCGCAGCGCTGCCTTATCGGGGGTGTCATCTAAAGTGCTTAAGCCAAGTTACTGCTAAGTGGCTTTTAGAAAATGTTGCTGGCTTTGTCCAAAGCATTTTTTATGTGACCCATTATGCCATGATTACAATTGGGTGTCTGCTGGTCACTAAGAGCAGCCAAAAGTTTGTCATTAGCATTATTCCAAGCCCGTAATCACAAAGCAGCTCCGACGAGATAAAAAAGCAGTAGCGAAGGCAAAAGTTTCCTCTATGAATTGTGTATTAAAAACTGTATTGAGCTACAGAAATACCAGTACAAATTTCAAAATGATCTGCCAGACCTGACCTGCCTGCAATATGGACTGCCTTTAAACACATTGACTTAAGAATTTGACGGATTAAAGCCAAATTAAGTCAGAAGGAAGCTTTCAGAATAAGTAACTTTAAAGTTCAACCGTGGCTCTGAATTGAAATTACAGTAGTAGGCTTTAAGTGGCATTTACAAATTGCAATTGCAATTGTTAATGAAAGTAACAGTTGACGGCGGCACTTACTATATATTCAAATGTCTAGCGCCAAACAACTCCTTAATAGGAAAGTCAAGAGCAGTAGTACTTCCAATCAAGTATTCTAATTAATCAAGTACTCTAATTAATTAATTGAAAATGTTTCTAGCACTGACTTCATGCTATGTACTTGTAAATCAAAATTTTGTTTGAAAATCTTAAAATGAATGTAATATTTATATATGAGCCTATATTTTATTCAGGAAGGACTATTGTTTTATAAAAGCAAGCGCTGCTTAGTTGAGTATAGTATAACATAAAAATTAAAAATCAAGATAAAGATTGTTGTGAGAAAAGGAAACCAAAACTGGGCTCAGCACTTTTCATTTATAGTAGTTAACGTTTTGAAGCTTTTGTTTTGTGTTCCCATTGTTGCAGTTTTATTTTGTGAAATCGGATGATTTGGATGCCATAGTTATAGTTCCACTTTATGGTTGAAATCAGGAAATTTACGAATCCTTATAAATAGTTTCTTTGCTCCACATTTATTTATTTAAAAAATAATCTAAAAATGTTCTACGAAGCAAAAGACTAGTAATTGGAAAGTGAAATTGGAAAAACCAATCTTTGAGTAGACTGGTCCGGGAGTTAGCCTGTTTTTCTTTATTTCTTGTAAACCAATGTAATAATAAAAAACCTCTTATATATTGTAGAGAGATGGAACAGTGTCCAGACCATTACAGCAGCCCTTCATATTTGAATAGAATACATAACGATAAATTGCAATGGCTTGTTAATTTATGCAATCACTCAGCACCCGCAATATTTCTTTACTTAGGATCTACTACCATATCGTTTCAGCCATTCTTTGATGCAATGTTTTCTTCTGCTTTTGAGCATCTCATTCCAACCAATAGACACTCACTTTTAATTACAGAAGGGCGGCAATTAAAATGACTGGCAGCTTGAACTCTAATTACAATTTACATTTTGCTTTGCCGTTGGTGTTGGTGTTGGTGTTGTAGTTCCTCCTCTTGTTGTCACTAGTTTGGCTTATACCCTCACTCTTCAGCGTTTGATTGTTTGTTTGTTAAACTTGAGAAGACTTTTCATTTTGCTTATCCACTACCATTTAATGCTCTTTGTTTTTATTTTTCTTTTCTGACTTGTGCGCTCACAACTTTACGTTTGTTGTTAGGCATGCGTTGACACTTCTTAAGTGATTGTCCGTATAGAGTATATCTACGAATCTGCCTTTTATACTTGTAATCTATGTCAGGTGCTGTTTTCGGCCGCCTACGTCCCAATGTAGGTAATTTTAAGCATGGGACTGCTGTTTGAAGAGTGTCAGCTTTTGATGCTTTAATGAAATTGTCTCTGTAGAGAGTCCACTCTCCAGAAGAAAGCATTTCCTGTGTTTGCTTTCCTTCCGCTTGTCACGCACACACCCACACACCCACCCACACATGCACAGAGAAGCGCTGCTTTCTGCGTGTAGCGGCCTTTTAGGCGTACGTGGAGCATAGTGTTTGGGCCCTTAATACTGTTAAAGTTGTTGTCTCTGTCAGGCGGTGTCAACAGCACTTGATTTCATGCACAAATACAGCCAGGACATTGTGTCACGTGTAATTACACGCTTAGTTGTATGACACTCTGTTGGCGGTGTGTGCTCTGCTGGAGAGCGTTTTACTTTAATTAAAAATTACATAAAGTGACGAAACTTGTTGTTCAATGAGCAGAGTTTTAATGCAAAAAATATCATTCATAAGAAACTTTTCAGAACGATCCAGAAATATACACCCTACTATGAACTTTAAATGCTCTTCAAAAATATTGCGTATACACGTATTCTATGGCAACAACAATGTTTGTTAGCCTTGCGTAATTACATATACGTGTAAAGGAAGTTTCAGTTTAAAGCTAACAATAATTCCTAAGACACATAATCCATCTGCAAATAAACATGAAATGTTGCCAACGTGAAGATATTTGCATTTGGAAAAACTTTTGTAATGCTTACGAAATCTGTGGGTTATAGCAACTAATAAACGACTTCATGTCTTTTGACATGCAAAAAATATTGAAAGATTTCATTTAATATTTGAAATGCATTGCGGCTATTTCTCAAGCGTGTAGAGGCGATCGCTCAGGTGCGGCTTAGATACACTTTTGTTCTGCTTCCATTTAACCAATTCGACATGTTTAACAAAAATTGTTGTTATTTTTCGGTTACACGTGTGCGGTTGAATGTGCGTTTGTTATGCAAGCGATTGTGTGTGTGTGCTTCTGTGGATAGCAACGATGGAATTTTCAGTGAGTAGGGGCGGGGGCAAGGAGCGTTCACATTGTTGGTAACTATGTACCCATGTGCACATACACACGATATGTGCGATTGTGTTTATTCGTATGAATGAAAATATGCAACGTAGCAACAATAAAATGCGCGTGTAGCCCCACACGCACACATGCCAAATATATTTGTATAATAAAAATGACAACAATGTACGCAAAGGGTCTTTGTACTTGAGTAAATTGGATCTGTATCTGTGCAGCCGTGCGTTAGGCTGAGGTAGAGCCGGGTCGGCGGTGCAAAATTAAATAAATATTTGTTTTAAAGCAAATGTCCACAGAATGAAATCCTGAAAATTGTGTGCCCCGAGGCATATACTCGTAGTACAAGGCATTGGCACAATGACTCGGATGGAAATCCACCTACCCGTAAACTTTTGCCTCGGCTGGCATTTTTGGGCTGCAGGCCAGACAGAGATGAAGGCAAACAGCTAGCCATAAAAAGTGCGCTATAATTTATGTATTTCTCATTTGCATGCTTAAGCTTTTTAAAATTCAAAAGTGGCTGTTTTCTTTCTCTGTGTGTGGATGCGTAAATGTACGCCTAGACTATGCTCATTCATGTGTTAATACAAACAATATTTGGCTTTTGCATAAGGTTTGCAATATTTGTGTGGAATAACGGCACTCACTGAGCTAACAGACTTATATGATTTGGATTTTACTCACAGTTAACAAAAAGTTAAAATCACAATCCCAGCATTTCTATCGAAAAGTTGATTGGTTGTGTATGATCATAGCTTTAGCATTCCGTTCTAAGCAGCTTTTTGGTGGAAATGCATCTATATTTTGTCATCTACTTCCATATCACTAAATTCCACTCTTTATGTTTGCTATCAACTGTGAGCAGAGAAGGTAATATTCAAGCAGATAAAATCTGCCAACAACCTAACAAACAAATAAATAAAATATGAGTTTGACAGACTAAGTGTTGGTTGTCTGCCTGCCTGACCTTGTCTTAGATACGTCATTAGACTTCACTGAAGGCTTCAAATACTTTTTAAATAAACGATTTAGTTCAGTTGATACACAAGATTCGGTTTTACTTTTGTTATTTCAATGGACAAAACTTTATATATAAATTCGACATATTATAACTCAAAAAGTTATTTATTATACATGAAGTTAATTATTAGATCTAGTCTAATTAATTTCGAGAATAGATTTTAGAGACGAGTAATTTCTGGCCTATGATGATTCTATTTAGAATTAATTATATTCTTTCAATTTGTATAGTAATGTAGCTTCAAATGTTTTTGAATAACATCGCAAATCTGCAATGCATCATTTCAGCTGTAAAAATATTTAATTTGAGTTTTGTTTCCAACCTCGCAGCTAAAGCACCTTTAAGGCGATTCATAAGAAATGAATCATTTCATTAAGAAATTGTACTAAGGAATTAGCATTCATACTACTGTTGACCTACTATGCACATGTCTGGCAGCTGTTCATTGTTGCTATTGTTTCGCATTGTTGTGTAATTGTTTCGTTTTTTCGGCATTGTATGTAGATTCAGCTTTCTCCTTTGGCATATAAGTATGATGAAATGCAGCTCCAGGAGTTATTTCTTGGGAACTCTTTATCGGTGAACAGTCGAAAATGAAAGTGAGTTTATTGGCGTTGCTTATTGTTGTGGCCTCAACGGCTCCTGTGAGTGGCTCTGGTCGCGGTCGAAGTCACAGCATTACTTGGGGTTCCCGTAGCTTCCGAGACACTCATTTGCAACGCGTGATCATTACGGAAAAGTCGAAGTTCCTGCGTGTCGTGACGCGTGATTATGTGTTCGAGCAGAAGGTTAGCTAAGACCTGGACTCGATGTCAGAATGGTTATATTCTCATTACATTTTTTGCACAGATACGGCCTCGGATGATTACACAAATTGTCGTTACGGACCAGGTTCGAGGCGGCGATGGAGGCTATGCCCAACTAAAGGCTGGCGGGCCACATGCAACCTTCGCACGAATTCACTTCAAAAGCCAAAGAAACAAAGGCTTTAGCTTCATAGTTGATATATATGGCATTTAACGAGCAAGTTTAATTGTAATTTAATCTGTTAATATAAAATGCAAGCACACCGCCGTATGTCAATTGTTTAATGAGAACAGCGGCATATGGCAAGTGTGATTGTTTCTACAATCCGGTACAATAAAGCAAAAATAATAATGCATAACAGGCAGCTAAATGGCATTTATGGTATTTATACAAGTATATGTGTTATTTTAACGACCCTAATGAGAGGGGTGGGGGTTGCTTTGTCAGATTGCCAGATTCAATGGCTGAGCAGGCAGGAGGCACTATTATTGTTTTTCGCTCTCTCTGTATAATTGCATACATGTATCGTATTGTTGTTATTTATTTGCGGCATGCAATATTTACATTTCGAGCACGGGCAGCAGATTTCCTATACAGGCATTTACATTTCGTCCATCCACACACTTTGTTGACCTTTCTGCTGTGCACCTGACCCGCCATTTCATTATAAAATGTCGTTAGTTGAGCGCCACAGCGCTAAAGGCCATTAATTAGGGTCACTTTCATTTCATTAAGCACCTTGAAACATATATTCACACACACAGACACAAATCTTGCCCGGAACACATCCCTTAAGAGCTTTATAATTAAAGTACATTTAACTAATCGAAAGCCCTGCTATATGGTCGGTTTGGATTATGGGTTTGGGTGTGACCTGATCAATACAAGTATATTGAAAAATGTATATGCATATTGACAAACTAATAGTCCAAATCACAGCCATCCTTTGGCATTTGTCCAATCTGTCGAACTCACACTCATCAGCACTAACAATAATAACAAAGTTGCAAAACGTATGACGGCTACATCAAGCAATTAAACCAATCGATGCTAACAAACACGACACACACGGAACTATATGTGTATGTACATACATATATACATAAGTATATATATACGAGTATTTACATATGTATATATGTACTTGTATGCATAAGCGTGTGCAGGTCTTTGGTATGCAAATAGGCACAGTCGCTGCCATATTAAGCTAAACAACTCCAACGCATGTACACACAAATATACGTATATATAGTATGTATGTATGTGTACATGCCTGGCTGTTAAATAATCAAAGTTGAGTGGCACTCAGAAACTAAGTTAGATTTAGGTGCTGTGGTTGCTATTCACCGACATGGAAATTTTGTATAATATTTGGCCAATAATGCATGTATTTATGAACGTAAATATGCGCCACAAGCCCATTAGGCATCAAGATTAATAATTTAATAATTTACCAAGCCATATATTGGGAGATAGTCGAGGATATGTGCTTAATAATAATCGGTTCCATGTGGAACATATCAAACAAATTATTATGCTGCTAAAGCTATCATTGTCTAATGCGATTCGAGAGCATATCTTTTTTTATTACATACTGACATTTTTAAGCCAAACAAAAGAATTGATTTCGCTCAGCAAGCAACTGTTGTGGGTTTCTCGGCTTGAAAAGTGTTTGAAATACCAAAAGGACTGCATTTAAGTCTTCAGTTAGCTTTTAAAAATCATTACAGCTGATTTTTAAATAGAAATATACTTGTATATAATTTGCGTTATTTTTCCTAAATTAAATAATTTTATAATAACTTTGATACTATATACCATATTTTGAGCTTAGGTTTGGCAAAGCATTGAAAATATGGGAGACAATCGTTTCACTTTACGATGATCTTTTAATTCTTAATTTCTTTAATTTACGTATCTACTTGTATTACCCGCGCTCGCTGGACCGTTTAAATGCAAATGCTGCGCTCAAAGGTATGCTACTTTAAATGTGAGATGGAAATGAGCTTCTCGTGTTCCTTCTTTGACAGCCTCTGCCTGCTTATGCTTGTAAGCCATTAACCGTTATGTTGCTATTATTCCATTTACCTCTGGTCTCTGCAACTCCTCCCCCCACGCCAGGAAGTACCCATATGGAGAAATGAATGGAAATTTTTCGCATTCCCACCACCTGACATGTGCGAGACACATAAAGACAATGAAACGTGATTGTTCCAATTAACTGTACAACGTGGCAGCATGCAACATCAACGCGTGCAGCAGAAGCAAAAGGTAATGGTTCGAGTTAAAATAGTGAGGAATGCAACTGTGGCACGTTCTCAGCCATTTGTTGTTGGTATTTTATTGCGTTTCAATGCGCTGCTATTGGCCGTCGACTCTCCACTTTGCATAAAATGCTTAACATGGCAACAACATTATGTTCTTCAGTTAAGTACTCTTACCCTCTTTTGTATAGCTCAGTGAAATGTGTTTGGCAAATAATAGTATAGATGCTTTCAATTCATTTTAAACAGTATTTAAGATATTTTGTTATACGCTACATACCAATACCAATAAAAAAACTTGGTAATCCAAACCTGGGAGCCACTTTCAATCCCCTAACACAATTCTAATAAATGCTACGCTCTGTCTTTTCTGTTACTGCTTACACAATATATACACATTTTCATAGTGGTTGTTTGTTGTCGTTCGATAAAGTTTAAATTATGTCGAAGCTGCCGACATGTCCTTAGAGCATGCAACTTACAAGTGCCACAGAATATATGCCAATTGCTTCCTTTGCCGTAGTTGTGGAGGTGTCGATTCTCGTATTGCAGCAAGCAAGGTGTAAACATTGTTGACATAAATAAATTTACTTATACGAATGTAACTATTTTATGAAACTATTTTGACTGTTATTTGACTTCCTGAAGCATTGTTTTCTCTTTAAACGAAAATAATGAATACAGTTTTTAATAAAGTTTTGGATAAACTTTTAATAATCTATGTAATCCTCGGTAATTCAGTCAGGGCAGTCGTAAACTCTGTTGCTCTTTATTAAACACTCTGCAGTTCGAACCAATTAATTTTAGTCTTATTCTACTTAGTACATATATTATCTTTGGTGTTTCTGCGTTTTGTATTTTTCTTATTTCTTTTAGTTTGCATATAAATATGCATATTTTGCTTTCAATCACGAAATTCTTGGAAAGTTGTTTAAAGTGTATTAATCAATAAATTCAAAACAATGCATAATGATTTTCATAAAACTAATAGGTGGTAGAATTCACAATTTACGACTTTTTGAAACGCCAATATTAAAAGGAAAAGTTGTTAGCTAATAAAAACTTAGGAGATGAAAAATTGCTAAGAAATGTTACTTGAACTATGTATTTAGTTTATAATTTTTAATGATCACTATGACTAATATCTAACCTAAATTTGTTATGCAAAAATAGAATAGTGAAAAGTATTCAAAGACAAGGCTCTCAAATAGAAATATGATCTCTAATTATGGGCATAGTTTTTATGCGATGTCCATCGTATGTTTTGGTCCGTTAAAACTAAAAAAAATTGAGCCTGATTAATTAGATATGTAAATGATTAGTACCAGAAAAGAAGAGAATTACTTCTACTTTGTTCTAACTTTTTTTCACCTAAACATTCACTGAGGTTTTTAATATATATATATATATGCAACTAATTTTGTGATCTAAACTGGGGTATATACTTGTATTTAGACTAATAAAGTTATTTAATTATGAGGCACAGCCTGAATGCCTTCGTTGCTCTGGCTATACATAAACTTTTTATATGTATAAAATTTTGTGATTTAGGATTAATTCTAAGTTACAAATGTTAAAATAAATAAATAAATAATTATGAGGCAATGCAATAATACATTTTATAAAGTTAATTTCTAATTTAATCCAAAGTACCATAGTAGGGTATATTAGTTAATTAATTTATTAAATTTTTTAAATCATTTTTTTAAAGTTCTTTTTTTTGTTTTAACTTTATTTTTCATAATCTCGTACGTATGTTAATGTAGTATTTTTATGTCTTTCTGAAAACATAAAGAAAGCTCCCCTATTCTATAGCCAAGCGACTCACGATTGGATATCAACAAATAGGCGAATATTTTATTCTGCGGTAAATACTATACACACTACTTATACCACATACATGTAATTGCTATGCACAATGCATGCTTTTTCCTTGCCAAATGATTGACGTTGTCTTTTTTTTATTTTGGAGACGTGTAAAGGGCAAAAATATACATACTATGAATATAAGTAAGTGGATTTATTCAAACGTGCTCGCTGCTGTCGTCAGCATTGTGCTGGGGAGTGAGGGTCTTTTTCAATTCGATATTTGCCATATTCGAGGCAGTTTTGTGCAGCAAGGAATTGAATTGTTTCGACAAAATGCAGCATCTGCATGCGAGCTAAAAAATGCTGTTTTAGATTCCTTTTTGTATAGTTTTGCCAGCGTTATAGCCCCAGTTTTGCGAACTCAATACCAGTTGATTTGACATGCCAAAGGCGTCAAGGCTTCCATGCGAAAAACGACTTGTTATGTGCAACCGATTGGGTGTAGTTGTGTAGCTTTCTTGTATTATATACTACATCCCATATATATGAATTTGTATTTATATATTTTTGTGAGTAGTTTCAATAAATGCAGATAGAAGCTGCTAAATCAAGCGATTGAGTTTATGTTGTGAAAAGAAATAGTATTATAATAATAATAACTGTCTATTCAACTGGGACTGGAAATCATTCCAAAGCTTAGATCTAAATGCTTTCCAATACATATATAAAATATAATTAAATTATATGTGCAAGGGTCGTGTCAAAGTGCCGGTTTCTGCTTCTATATTTTACTGGAATGCAGTTCTATGCAAATTTTCGTTGGTGTTTTCATTAAAAACCGAAATCGGTGCGCATTTTCAGCATAAGAGTATATTGGTGCTGTGTTATTCATAGTACAAGTATTACAAGAAAACTTGTTATAGTTGATAAAGTTTTAACTGAATAGCAAAGATAAGTTGAGCTTTATTAACTGGTTGATTGATATAACAACGATAATGTGCGAACCGCTACTCTTCTTTCTTTTTCTGAGGCCTAATATAGGTATTAATATAGAATTTAATAAACATGAAGCCTATTATTGAGTTTTGTGCTATTATCATAAGAAGCAAAGAATTGGGAAAACCACAGTTCCTTGAGAACAGAAGAACATATAATGAATGGAGAATTAAAATGGTGAACTGTATAATTTGTATGATGGTAATATACTTCTTCCACCAGAAACTGGACTTAAGTTGTGGATATAGTGAGGAGAGTAAGTAGTAGAAGTACATAATGGCGTGAACGAAGCTATTGAGCAACCCCAGTACATTAAAGTGGCCTCCTGGTCCGTAGAAGCGTTCCACCATGTAAGTGGACAACACCATAATAACATGATGATAGACATGAAGAGTGGTGATCTGCTTGTAGCTTTTGCGCACAATAAAAAATACAGTATCCGCCAGATCTAGGATTTTGTTGATAAAATAGGCGTAGGCTGTCATGCGCTCCCAAATCTTCTCAGGATGATCAAGGCCTAAAGTCTCCATGCATTGGAAATCATACATTGGATTAATAAACAGCCAATAAATAGCCTTTGTGAAAAAAATGTTGTTATACATCAGCTATAAAAGAGATATACAAGTATTTATTTTACTTACAAGACAACATATGCAAGCGTTATAAAAAATCTGGACGATATTATACACCATCATTAATTTCTTCACATCATATGGCTCACGATTCTCCATAAATATTCGGCCAAGTTTTAGGACGAACAATAAATACACCAAGAGTATACAAATAACAGGCCATGGAGATGTGATAAGCGGCAAGGGAAACGGATCTATAGGAAATGGATGATAGTTGTTTTTAATTATACTTGTACAAACAGTAAAAGGGTATACTAGTCAATGTTTCACAAAGTTTAAGAGCTAGAGTAATCAAACTTAGGGTGTACGCAGCTTTTACAAAAGGGTGGGCAAAAATTCAAATTTTGATTAAATAATCCATGATGCATTTAAAAAATGCGAAAAAGTGCGCCATAATATTGAACGTGTGGTCGACTTTATACAATATGGCAAAATTTGTTGCCCCCTGCGTACGCCCTTTCCTTTCCTTTCTTGATTTTTGGATAATTTGTCAGTTCAAAGCACTAACCTGCCAGTGGTAGATTGAAAATATTGAACACCCTCCAGCTCATTTTTATAAATTTTAACAAAAACGTGTCAGCTAATCGTTTTATTCGAGGGAAGGCTATAGACGCGACTGTCGCGACGCTACTGAAAAATAAATGAAGAAAGCTCATGTTGCTCCAATTGTTGTCTCTTTGTCTCTTTATACCCTGTATCCAAGGGGTGAAACGATACATTAGTTTAGTGCAAATGTATGTAACACACAGAAAAGTCGTGGTACCCCCCCAAAAGTATATACGTAATTCTGTTTTTACACGCTACATTGGTTCGAATTGGTTGGGCCGTGTAAAACAGAATTAAGTGTATATAGTACATATTGATCAGTAAGACAAGAAGAGTCGGTAAAGCCATGACCGTATGTCCGTCTGTATGAACGAAAGGATCTCAGAAAGTACAAGAGCTAAAATTACCAAACTATCCAGGTTCGCCTAAACCCTTCGTTAATTTTGTTTACAGTTCAAACTGTACATAACCATATGTCTCCACTTATGTATGTATTTATTTAATTAAGTAAATAAATAAAAAATTTTTTAAATTAATATTTTAAATATTATTTTAAATGTTTGTTTTTATTCGTGGGTGTGGGTACAGGGTATTTCACTGTCGGGCTTGCTCCACTCCACTGTTTTTTACTCCGTAGCTGATAGGTACAAAGTGAAAGTAAAACAAGATTGAACGCTACAGTCGAGCAAGCCCGACAGTAAAATAGCCTGCACTCTCCACAAAAAAGAAAAATTAAAAAAAAAAAAATTAAATAAAAAAAATTAAATTATTAAAAAACAAGGAAGGAATGCTAAAGTCGAGCAGGCTCAACTCTTAAATACCCTGTACCACCCCACAAAAAAAAGAAATTAAATTAACTAATTAATTTAATTTTATTTAATTAATTAAATTAATTAACTAAATTAAATATAAAATATTCCATACATGCATACATACATTTACATTTACATCAGAATCGTGTCTATGCGTGTTTGTGTACTTGTACATATGTATGTATGTGTGCATTGGGCATGATTATATGGCTATAACTTTCTTTCTGATCCTATCATAATGAAACTTGGTATACGAATATATAATCACTAACTGGATGTGTCTACCAAATTTTAGTTTAAAATTCCAAGAATTACGGGAGTTATAGAAAATCGTGAATAGGAGAGGAGAGGGGGGTGCATCGGGAAAAATGAACAAACTTGACCTGCCTAGGGCTTAGGGGAACCTGGATGCCAAGTTTGGTAATTCTAGCTCTTGTACCTTCTGAGATCCTTGCGCTCATACAAACGGACGGGCGGACGGACGGGCGGACGGACGGACGGACGGACATGACCTTTCACCCTTTGGGTACAGGCTATAATAATAAATAAAACGTTCTGACTGTTACACAAGCAGACCTCGCAAAGTATATATGTATGTATAAATTCTTGATCAGCATTACAATAAATTACAATAAATAAATTACAATAAAGCCATGTCCGTCAGTTTGTCCGTCGCTCCGTATAAATGCAAGGATCTCAGAGTGTGTTAAAGTTGAAATTACCGAACTTGGCGTCCAGATTCTCCTCTGGCAGCAGCTTTGGTTGCTGTTACTGCTTTCGCTCAACTCTGTACAGCACACAAACACACACACTCACACACACACATACACACACGTATTGATACGTAAAATGTAATAATTGTACAATCCAGGACAGATCTTTAATAAAAAATAACACGGAAAAAGACGAAACCGAGCGGTTGGTCCGATAGAGAGAAATCTATTATTTATAGGTTGGCAGCACTGTCAACTGTGTAACAATTTCATTCAAATTTTGTCATTGCCTACCTAAATAATTAAATTTCTGTACCCAAAACAATAAAACTGTTGAAGAAATGGACCGGCTAAGTTCGGGTGTCACGACTTTGGAATACTCTGTACATATGTGTGGAAATTTTGAAATACACATTTTGTGAGGTTGCCTAAAAATATTTATTTTACTTATTTTTAATTATTTCTATAGTTTGAACAGAATTCTATATATAAAGATAAACTATCTGCATATGAACGCAAACTAATCTGTCCTACTTATTTAGAAGTATTTCCTTCACAAAAGCCAACGTTGTCTTCTAAAACAACATAACGGGAAAAGCTGGCGGTACTTTTGTAAAACTCTTTGCTCAAGATCAGATCAAGCATACCACAAACGAAATATAGAAGGAAGAGCGAAAACAAAGAATTTCACGCACCTTCTACCAGATACATGCATTCATGTACAGAGTATAAAAATATTTAAAGAAGATCGAAAAAGCATTAAAGGCGAACCACATCTGAGACCAACAACAACTTTAACTGTTGAACAACACGTTAAGCAAATAGGTCTTCCAAAAACATAGATTGACAACTTGAAACATTGTTGATGCGGCTTTTTGAAAGCATCAGTGAACACAATTTTGAGGAGAACCTGTGTGCCTCGAAAAAATCGAATCTCGTTTGGTTCCCAAAACACTGCAAACCATTTCTCGGCAAACCCTATGCGTATCGTTTCACAAACACCCCAATAGTCATGTGGCTTCAATTGAGAAGGCACATCGAAGAAGTTACTGAAGGATCCGAGGAGTGACATATGGGCATTGTAAAGAGTTGCGCCAAGGCAGCAACAACAACAACAGCTGCGCACAGAACTTAGCAGAGATTACTTTTATTTCTATAACTTCCTTTCAAATTGACAGATCAAGATAAAACGGCACATAATCACTATGGACACATAATCGCTAACAAAAGTAATTTGCAAATTTGATTTAAAAAAATAGCAATGGAAAATGTGACTCCAAGATATACATAGGTGATTATTAATACAAACGGCGTTACGCAAAATCCCCTATAGGGCATCGGCCATGCTGATTAAGAATATATATATTTATATATATATACTTTCTGTCTGTTACTTTTTTCAATTCCCGCAAACCCAATTTAGTCTTGTACCTTTGAGGTACAGGTACTCTTCTACCTTGTACAATTAAAGCATTTGTAAGCTTAAATAAATAGAGCGATTCATATTTTTACAGTTGTAAGGGGGATAAAAATTTGTGTTCTTAATTATTTGTTTGTTCGTGCATTTTTCCATATTTTAGTGTTATACTGCTATTCGGGGTGGGGAAAATTCGAAAAAATTAAAGGCCATACAAATTGGTACTTATGTATGTATATACATATATAATCCTATATGTACAGATAGGATTTGATATATACAAGTATCATTGCTGCTTGGCTTGTGTTTTGGGTTGTTTGTTCGTTAGTATATAGGAGTGTATATAGAAGTTGGTGAACATTATCATCATCACCACCGACATGGATGTGGTTAGATATAGAATGCCTCCACGTGTGCCACAATTCGGCTGAATCCATGTCCAAATGCTGTGCGCAAAGATGACGACGAACTGCACTTCCTGCAAGATGGTTATATACTTTTTCCACCAGATGTTCTCCTTGACACCCCTATGTTTTGCCGATAAATAATAGTAGGTGTACATGACAATGTGTACGAATGTGTTTAAGAGTCCCATTATGCAGGGATGTCCGCCATAGCCGTGATATCGCAGAACCATGTAGCCAGCCACTGTCATCAATACGTGGTGAAAGACGTGGAGAACGGTTATCTGCTTATAGCTCTTACGGAGCACAAAGAACACGGTATCGAACAGGTCTAGAAATTTGTTGACGTAATACGAATAGGCCATGAGGCGCTCAGTTGATTTTAATGGATGGTCCTCAGGCAGCACCGACATGCAACTGAAGTTATAGGGCTTCTCCACAAACAGAAAGTAGACTCCCTAAAAAGGACGAATTGGCAATTTATAATGCTGTTCTTGCAGACAAGGGCTGCGGCAACTACTTACCCTTGTGAAAATTAATGCATTATAGATAATTTGAGCGACATTGTAGAATTGCATAGTCCGTCGTAGCTCGAACGGCTTTCGAAACGACATGAATTGCGGGCCCAGTCTCAGCACAAAGAACAAATATAATGAGACGATGCATAGCATGGGCCATGGAGAAACAGCAAGAGGCAGTTTAATGGAATCTGAAAAAAGGAGATCAATTATTATATACTTGTAGATCAATCAATATTGAATGGAAATACTTGTATACTTGTAACTACTACCTGCATAGGGTTGATTCAAGGCATCAATCAGCTTAGTTAAAACCATGGTTGCGCTGTGGCACTCGTGCGATGAACGGAATATATTTTGCGACTAGAATAATTTCATTGAGCTCTTTGTATTTCAAGATGCCGCAGCAAATCGAGCTGTTTTGTTCGAGTTGGGGTCTTCAACCCAACACACATTCGCTTCATTAGCGCTTTCACAATCGGTGCTGAGCGTACAACCGGCGACTTTGGTCGAGAACATGTTGGATACAGTGTATCATTAAATAGACAAATGAGCGACCGTAATTCATGAGGTGTTCCTAAGTTCAAATACTTGTCATGCATATTATACATTCAGCTTGCTCCCCATTCCAATTTGTATTAACAATTCACTTAAACTAACACTTTATGTCATATTCTCTTCCATTACAGTACAACAGCGAACGAAATTCAGCGGTAAACTGAGTGTATTGTGAGATAAAAACTACACATAATAAAATGTTACAAAATATAATTGAAATATGCCAGCTCGACAACGGCAAAGTCCAAAACTGTCGGGCAGCTGTCGCACCAGCGGCTAAAGAAAATGCAACAATGGAGCAATGCACAACAAGAATATCACCAAAATTTAAATGAAACAATGCGAAAAACTTTGACCAGCAGGAGCCACAGCAGAAATAAAAACATGAACAACCGATCTGCCAAAAATGAAAGCGAAGAAAAGTCAAACTGCAGCAACAGTTAGATGAGAAAGTCAAGTCAACAAGCAATCGAACAGTCTTTGATACTACAAGTACAATACTTTTCCAGATCATTAAAACCGAATTCGGCGTTAAGCCACAGATTCCAAAGTTTCGGGGTCGATACAACTTTTCATCCGGCTGCAGAAATTTAATTAGACGCAGAAAAGAGCACAGCTAGCGGCCATAAATCAGCCGTCAGCCAAGCCGTCCAAAGGCAGCGAAGGCAGCGAAGGCGCTTCCTTTCATTTCGCTTTATTTCATTCACTCATTCATTGGCTCTATTTATCGTATCGCACGGCATGGCATTCAACGTCGCAGACGCAGCCAATTAGCTGTTCTTTGAGGCAACTGTAACCTCGGCTGTTTTGGCCGCCTTCTACCGGCCCAATGCCTGCTGCCAAAAGACGCGCAGCAGGCAGCAGCAGCAGCAGTGGAAACAGCAGCTCCGCAAATGCAACGTACGAGCAGCCGCCCTTGCAACATCATGCAGATCATGAACAGCCACCCGAATACCAACAGCTATTACAGCATCAGCATCATCCGCACAATAGCCACCACAGCAGCCATCACAGCAGCCACCTCAGCAGTCACCACAGCAACCACACGCAACAGCTGCAGCAGTACCACCAGCGGCAGCAATTTCAGCAGCAGGCGACACATCAGCAGGCTACGCTGCGCGACTGTTCCGTGAAGCTGCCTCTGGATATCCTGTGAGTATTAAATGCCAACAGACTATTACGCTTGAGAGCAAGTGCAGACAGAAGCGTTTCTTTGTTCGCCCATCCATTTATTTAACACGCAGAAGGTGGATCAATACGACGAGGCAGGTCCATATGCCTAGCTATGTCTGCCCGCCTGTCTGTACGAATAAGAAATCTCTGCATATCGGTTATGCTTAGCATTTGATTTTTGAATTCAGCAAGAAAAGAAATAAGCGGCTGCAAAACTCAATTATAGAGCATTACATAGTCAGATTTCCTCGGCTTGTTCCAATCTGCAGTCGTTCAGCAATGACCGCAATACATATGTATGTATGTATGTATGTATGTATGTATGTATGTATGTATGTATGTATGTATGTATGTATGTATGTATGTATGTAAATATGTATGTATGTATAGCAATTCAAATTGCAAGGCGCATCAAACGCTCATCGACTCGGGCCAATTCCACAGGCCAGAGAGGTTGCATTTTGGCGTCGCATATCTAAGCAATCCATGAGTTTCATGAGTCCACACTTTGTAAATATCCAGTGTTTGTAATGGCGGGGTAAAGTATGTATATGCGGCACACTTGCATTCAATATGGTTTCGTTATATTTAATTGTGCCTGCAGCTCTGGCTCGCGCCAAGAATCGGTGCACATAGACATAATCCACAGGTCTGCAGCAACAACAACTTTCCTATTGTTTTGCACTATTCTATCGCTTTGTTTTGGCGTGCTCTTTTTTTTTAAGCATGGGGGAACATCCGGCCTGAATTAAGCTTTTAAGTCGCTTCGCTGCTAACTTGTAATTTTCGCAGACAGCTTATCTGTTAAGCTCAGCTCCCTAAACAATACAAGTATATGTCCGCCGAACCGAGTAAAGGCTTATCAAAAATCCATTATATGACTTAACTTTTTTCCGTAACGACTTATTTACGCATGATGTGTTTTTTTTAAGTTGAAATCTTGTTTCTTAACATAAAAATGTTTAAAAAATCGATTACTTATATGTTTATCCATGCCAAGCTAGATATTAATTTCCCAAAATAAAACACTTCACATCACAACTATATTTTATATAGGTAATTATATGTATTCAATTTTGTGGAGAGTTTCGTGCAAAGTTAGGATGATTGTGAATTTTGATTCTAGCTTAAAATAGTGTTATTTATGAGAAAACCATTTCAACTTTCTCATTTATACGTTTTAGATGAAACGCAAATTTAAATTTAATAGAAATGTGAGAACCATTTATTGGGCATGTACATATATGGCATTCAGTTTTCAGTAATACATCGTATTGAGTTCTTCATTGACTAACTAATCATTAAGCTTATGCTGGGCTAAAAATTTAGCTTGTTAGTAGAAATGAAAAGCAAGCATGTGGAAAAAAGAAAAAAACTTTACTAAACGCTGGGTTTGTCAACAGCACCAGCTGTTGCAAATTGCATTTTCTGCTGAACGGCCTTTATAGCTAGACTGTCATAAAATTTAAATTTTGTTTTGTAGTTTATTTTTCCGCACAGTGTCATAGAAAATGCCAGCATATGTGGAAGCGACATAAATATACGACACGACATGAAATTGCGTTTGTGGCTATACTGTAATAAAAATTCAATTTCACATTCAACCTGGGCTTTTTGTTTAATTCCATAATAGCTATACTACAGACCAGATACTAAGTAAAATGAATTGCGCAAATGCATTGTAATGCACTTGCTCTCGCTTAACGTAAAGTTCATTTTTAAAAGCAGGAAATACTTCTAGCATTGGTTTTTAGTTATACATAATTATCAGGAAGTTTACAGTTTAACGTTGCCTTGAGATCGACCGTGGCTTATATGCAGTTTTCTTCCGTGATCCACCGTTAATGTAGAAGTGTCAAAATTAAAGTGAAGACTTGCCTAATTGTTGTTTAGAAATACATTAAACTAGGCCGGGTTTTGGCAATGTTTCGGCATTTCGCCTTCTATTTCGGCTTATGGAGTCTCGACGAAAGATCTATGCTTGCTATAAAGCAGTACAAATAGACAATACTTTACATTATTTTCGTGAAGTAACTGATTACTTTCTATCCGATGGAAATATTTGATTCAAAATTTTGAATAATAATATATTGCAGATCGCTTTATCCCTAACTTATTTCTATTTGTATATTTATGTTAATAAAAAAAAGTTGAAAAAACTTTCAGTTACATTAAATCTCCACGACTAAGTTTAAAACCGATTTATATATAAACTAGAATAAAATTATGCTTAATTTATAATAATCATTTCCATCTGCTATCAACCGAACTTCTCTTTCCTTTCTAAGAGCAACTATCTCCGGAATCTTTGACACCTGTGTGTGACACCTGTAAGACGGGGCATAGTCTCTTTAGATAATCCTATAACAAATGAATAATCGAGCATTTGATGATGGAATAGTTTCTTCAACGTCACATAAGTGGCAGCGCCTATTTCGCGTCAAAGTCCCATTATTTTTGCAGTCTAGTGTCGCTGTATTAGGGCTTGTTTTAGCTGTGAGGCACTGACGTTTAAACAAACCGTGCTCTTGTGGCAACTGGCAACTGTAAGGGCTTGAAATTGGAAAACTTAAAGCACGCCACAGACATCTTGTGGTGCAGTGCACTGCGTTTGAAATGTGGGCCACAGATGCCACTGTGAAGTGACTTCATGCGGTCGAGGGCCGGGCTGGGATGGAATGGGCTGGGCTGGGCTGGCTGGACCGGGTCGGGCCGACCTACTGCCTTGTCGTCTTACTCTTCTTGCAACTGCTACTGCGGCCTGTGTGTGTCGTTACTTTTAACGAGGTGTCGCATGCGAATGTCGTGCGGCGTGCTGTGGCATTAAACTGCCTGTTGCCACATCACACACACACACACATGCACACGCACACGCACACACATTCATACTCATTTGGTGTGTATGAAAATGCACTTAGAGACAGAGCAGCTGACAGCCATGAACCAACCAGCCAACCAACCAATGGCTGTCTACCAACACCGGCACCGGCACCAGCAGCGGCAGCGGCAGCGGCACTGACTACGCCACCGATACCAGCACCATTGATGCGTCGGCTTTCTTAAGTGCCGCCCCACAACACACTGCCGGTATGCTGCAAATGAAGTCATCCATTAGATGGCGGCGTTACGTATACGCCTGGTTGTGTGGCATCCCCACAACCTATGCTTGTGATAATAATAGCTAGGTAGGTAGCTGGGTGCTAGTAGTGTTTATTGCGGTCTAAGCGGAAGCGCTTATAATGGAGTACGTTTAGGTGCTGCCACGGCTAATTTCGTAAATATGTATGTTGCCACTTTAAGGCGTCATTAGATGGCTGAGTCATTCTTAAAGAATGAGCGCGCACTTCGACTATTCAATGAGATTGTGGTGGTTGGTGGCCTATCGTTCCAATTTGAATTCTAATCAGCTTAGTGAAAGCCCCCTCAAACATGAGCGAAAGTTTCGATGCGAAAGGACATCCATTAAATTAATTAAAGCAGACCGAACACAAAAAAAACCAATAAACGGACGAGCACCCAAAACTAATGAATAAACTTCTGAAGCAACTTCATCGACTGCAGTAGACTCCAACGGCAGTTTGAAGTGTTCGCCATTTGATTATTTACATAAGAAGATATCAACATTTTAGAAGAAATGTATAATTATTGTTTTTCAAAAATCTGATTGCCTATTTCTTTTGTAATAGATATTTCTTCGAAAATTTGGAAAGTATTTTTAAATACAATGTTTTTCTACAAATTTTTTTATGTGTAGTGTAGTGTAGTGTGTGCACATACATATATTTATACAAATAGACAGGTGAACTAATTGCTACCTTCTGCCTATTTTGTCTCTTTGCAGATGGTTGCCGAAGTCAGCCATGCGGCCGGTGGGGCCAGAAACGTCGCACACGGACTGCATACTGGTCGTGGGCGTCTCCCGTCCAAAATTAGCCGTTGTCTTTCTAACGGTTATGTTAATCTCGCTGTTTCTCACCTTCCACGTGCTGTACGACAGTGCTGTCTACAATATACAAGCGGCTCAGGCGGTGCACGAACGACATCGCCTCTCCATGCTCGGTGGCATGAAGAACGGCGATGGCAGGAGCAGAATGCCCGATGGCAGCTCCACTAATCACCTGCCCGTCTTTGTGAAGCCGGTGCCGAGCTCGAGTCAGTTGAGTCATCCAATGGTCTTTCCATCCAGTCGCGTGCACTTCCCCAAGACGAGTCGACGATTGCCTCAGGTAATTCGCCTCGTTTTATTAATGCAGAAGCAGAATCGGAACCAGAAGCAGAAGCTGAAGCAGCAGCAATGGCAGCCGTATCAGCAAATGTGTCGGCTAATTGCTCAGGCATTTGGCTAAAAAGTCGGTTCGAAAATATTTGCGAAGAGGACAACTACTTGTAATACCAAGGAACTAATTTGTGCTATTTTCGTGTTCATTTTGTTCCATTTCCGGCCACAATTCGACACGTAAGGCACTCATAATTGGCGTGCGGAAGTGCGGCACAAGGGCACTGCTCGAGATGCTTTACCTGCACCCCCGCATCCAGAAGGCTGGTGGTGAGGTGCACTTCTTTGATCGGGACGAGAACTATCTGAAAGGCCTGGAATGGTATCGGAAAAAGATGCCGCACTCGTTTCGAGGACAAATCACCATCGAGAAGAGTCCCAGCTATTTCGTCTCACCCGAGGTAAGTGTTCGAGGACAGGAACTAACAACAATCAGGGCAATGCCAATTGCCTAATTGTGGGCGGTGCTTGTCATGCTCACTTAAATTCTATCGTCTGTGCACGCTTTGATGTCTAATTGGCAATTACGTTCGTCCTTCGCTCCTCCAGTACGCTGTACTACCGTACCTTTTCTTTTTGTCGACCACATCCGCACGCCTAGGCGTAATTATTAATTAACTGGCCGCTGGCTGGACCGATCCAGCCATAGCCAGCTCTGCCCTTCTTTAGCCAGCTCGGCCCAATTTCCGTGATGCCGGCGCTTGTGCTTGTCCAACAAATTATTTGGACCAAATTTTAGCACCGGAAATGTTTGCAAATTCATTTTCCAAATGGCGTAATCTAACACACGGCGATATGAGTGGGTGTATGGCCACAGATGTTTTGGACTCTGCCTGAATTTGGCAGCTCAACGGCTTCTAGTTTTATTAACACAGCTGTGTTTGAGGGCAAGCCGTATCCAGGCCTTTTAAATTGAGTTGACTGATGCAATTTGTTGGCGAGCCGGAAGTTCTACATTCTAGTCGTCGTACTCGTATGTGCGGGCACGTGATATTGAGCCGCGGCTTATTGATGCTCAGTTTGTTAGCGTTACGGGTGTCATGGCAGCAAAACATTTTTTGCGCAGTTTGGCTCCCATTGGACCTTTGGGTTTTTTCTTTTTAGCCCTGCACTTGCAAGTTAACTTTCAGTGCGTGTTGCTAAGTAAAGGCAGAGTGGAAAGCTGCCACCACTCTACTATATACTATTCTCCGTAGTATACAGCCAGTATGCAGGTACATAGTAGATGCTTACGACATTGACTCGTTTGCTTGAAATATTTTAATTTAAATTCGGTAATACTCTGTCTGGTGAGCTACCTCAGCCCGACATGTCAACACGTAGTTCGAGGACATTGTGTTTTTAAATTGAAAAATTAACAGATGCCATAAAAACGCTGAATACTCAAGGCTGCCGAATACAATTAATACGCACGCCTTGTTTTTAATATGCATGACAGCATTTATATTATGCGTGTGATGGTAATCTTAAAAGGCACATTACGGACGAGATGTCTGATCTCTTTTGAATACAATGGTTTCTCGAAACTCTCCAAATAGTCGTTTATTCGAGCAATGACTTGAGCAGGATGTCTGAACATATATCTAGATATAATTTGTTCTCTTCTATCGACTTGGCATTCACCATTCAGTCTTACCCAAAACTGAATGTGTAGTGGAGAATTTAATGGGCTTAGATTTAAGAACAATTTTCTCAAAAAATGTAAAATTTGAAAATTTGTTTTGTACCAAACTTTTGATAGGAATACTAAAAATATATATATATATATAATTTTGTAGCAAAGAAGTGGAGAGCAGAGCTAACCTAACGATTAAAATTGGAACCACATGTTAGTTACCCTAGTTAGATATTAGCACATACTCCAGATTAAAATCAGTCGCTATGCAGTTTCTACACTTCATCTATTAGCTGTTGTTCAATTGGCTTTTCCGGATTAAAAAATCTATAAATTAGCCAAATAAATTTTGATTGTGCGGCTCATTAAACCCAATTAAAACATTTGCTAGAGGTTCGGAAACAGTCCGGAATATTGCTGTATTTTCGTTGGCTTTTGGCTTAGCAATCTTAAAACCTCTCCTCCAGTCATTCCTCCATTAAACCAAATCATAATTGCTCTTTAACTTTAAATATTATTCTTGATCGTCAACAGAAATACACTCGGCCGCCCCTTTGGTAACAGCTTGCCTTCGTGAGCAATTAAAATTAATGTTCAATTCATTGTTGGCATAGTGTCAATACTAGCATGGCATTTGCCTATCAAGATTTTGGGACTCTGCCCAAGCCCTATGTATTACGTATGCAGCCTGCTTGACATTTTTGCCTTTGATTGGCGCTGTGCCAAGAGCAGGCGCCTGCTCGCATTGCCCGGAACTTGCATTTGTTGGATCCTTTCAAGCGCGCACAATTATGCTATAGTTAAATTATTATTAAATTTATTTTATGCTAGACTGCGCCTATTTGCTCAGTTATTTTTAAAGGACAAACTTATGGGCCCATGCTCTCCGGCCAGGGTCAACAGCGATGGCTGTTGATCATCCAAGCAGTCGCATTTAGTTGCTATACATTCCGCTTTAATTAAATTGTTCACAGCACAGTGGCTGAGCTGAGTGCAACGCCGCTTATAATTGAGCGGGGGAGTTGGTGGGGCAGATGGCGGGTTAACAGGCAATTAGACAGGTAAGCACATTTGCGCATACAAAGGCGGCACATTAGCCATTTACCCGTTCTAAAGGCTTGCTGTGGCGCTGTGCCATTGCTTCGAAATGCTGCAACTTTATTAAGTTTCGAGGTCACATTTGGGGGGTCCCTAATTTGCTGCACTTACTGTACAAAATAAATTCATAAAGCAGGTGCATTCACACGCTCTGCAAGTAACAATAATTTTAAATTACCTGCAGATTTAAGTAATGGTTCGAAATGTTGTTTTTTTTTTTTTTTTGCAGGTGCCCGAACGTGTTCGCGCCATGAATGCCAGCATCAAGCTGCTGCTCATTGTGCGCGAGCCAGTTACCCGCGCCATTTCGGACTACACCCAGCTGCGGAGCCATGCGGCCACTGCCATCCTACCACTGGCCGAGAGCAGTGCGCCCGGTTCCGGTTCTGATATACAGCCCAAAACAGCTGCACCGTCGCCACCACTGTCGCCATCAAAGGAGTTACTCTACAAAAAACTGCATGCGGAGCGTGCTTATGACAATGCACTGGGCGGCAGTGGGGCAGGTGCTAAGGAGATGGCCACCAAGCCACGTGGCCGACGTGCTGGGATGCCGATGGCGATGCCAGTGACAGCAGTGGCAACAACAACCCCAACTTCTGCATATGCAAGCGCAGCGCAAATGGCATCCAAGTAAGTGAGGACTAAAGGCAAAAAATTGCAAACCTCGAATCCGACCCGACGCCAAGCTTGTCCAAAGTAAACCACTTTCCAACTGTCGTTCCAATTGAATTGAAAAATGCCAGTGTGGCATGTTCAGAAATTGGCTCGGAGTACTGGGAAACAATCAAGTGTGAACAAATTAAATTCGCCTTTAAAATTTCTTACAAAAATGTTGCTTAAAGAAAGCACTTTTCCCATATTGGTAATTTCATTTCTTGAATATAAGGCCTGTTTACACGTTTACTAAACTATTTATTTAAAATAGCAAAATTAGTGACTGGATTACACGCATATTCATGACTAAATGCCCTTTAGCTCGAAGTTGAATTAGAGAACAAGACTGGATTTAAATATAAGAATAGGCCGACATTAAAGCTTCGTCATTAATCTATCAGTTCTATAAGCACTCTTTGTTTTCACTCTTCTAGTTAGTTATGCCATTTATCGATATTTCCTGTAAGTAAAAAGTTGGCGCACAAATGGTTAGAACATACATATAAGAGCAGCTAGTTTAACATAAATGAAGCGTTTTATCTAGTTACCTCAAATTATATTTAGGGTGTATTAATCAGTCGTGTTACATTTTCCACCCACTTTGCTTATGAACTATTGAAGTGTACACTATTTTAGCACTTCGTTGACAAAAGGAACAGCAAACGAGCATATACTTGTATGAACTTTTCGTCCAATAAGAGAAATTAGGTATGAAAAGGAATAAATATAGATAGGTAGATGATAGTTCAAGGGATATCAATAGATTCTATTATATTCTTGTATATGAATAAATACAACACATCCTTTCAACTATTAATCGTTTTTAGGTCCTTTGAGGAGTTGGCCATATTTCCGAATGGGACCGTGAACGAAGCGTATCGGCCATTGAGCATCTCCATGTATCATGTGCATTTGCATCGCTGGCTCGAGGTCTTTCCGCGCGAACAATTGCTGGTAGTGAATGGCGATAGACTAATCGAAGACCCTGTATCGCAATTAAAGCGCATTGAAGCGTTTTTGGGTAAGTTGCCAGCCACTCACAATCAAGAATTTGATTTGATTGAGTTGCCAAAAAGCAAACATTAATTAGCTGCGGTTCATGAATCCATTACGGAGAAACTTGTATTGAAATAATTTGCAACTACTGTGCAATTGAGTTGCATAACTTGATTAATTGTTTACCTTTTTCTTGCACTTACTTCTGTTCAATTGCGCTTATTATCAATTTGCACGGGCATCCTGCAACAAAACTGACAACTATGGCAACAAAAACAACAATGGCGGCATTGCAGGCATCGAACATCGCGTCAAGAGCGAACATTTTTACTTTAATGAAACGAAAGGATTCTACTGCCTGCGTTACGACAACGGCGACCGTTGCCTGCGCGAGACCAAAGGACGAAAGCATCCGCATGTCGACCCCATTGTCGTCTCACGGTTGCGCAAATTCTTCGCGGAATATAATCAGCGATTCTACGAGCTGGTCGGCGAAGACCTTGGATGGCCAGAGGAGTAAAGCTGAGCAAAGTCCGCAAGCAGTTTGCTGCCGTACCACAAACGCAATTGAGAAACATGGACTGATGGTTACTACATATTTATTCCTTCGTTGTTACTTCAATTAATTTAGCTGTTGTTTGTGTGCTTTCTTGTTCGCATCCGTTCTTCTGTATCCGTTTGTGTGAGTGTGTTGCGTTCATGGCTGAATGCTTCTGTTGCTATTGGCAGCAATTTAAAACTTGATTATAGTACATACTATATAGTGTATATACTTATAGATACTCCATAGTGTGGTGGAATGTATTTCATCACGAGTACGAAGCGGAATACATTCAAGTTTCCGTTGCAATGTCCGTATTTAATTACAAATATGGAAAACAGGCAAACAGAGCAAAAACAAAAACAGTTTTTTTTTCCGCAAAATCAGTTCATTGCAGGCACACACTGTATCTCTATCACCAACTAGGCAATGCAAACAGTTTCGAAATCAACAATTTACTATTGCTTCTGTTCTTCTTTATGGGCATTATTTCTCTCACAAGCAGTTATCTGTACTTTGCTACAGTTTGCATACAAATTATTTGATATTAATCATGAATACGTTGTAATGTTGAAGCCGATATGGAGAATAATAGCTGGTAAGCTTAATAACTTTTAAATTTAACATGTGAAAAGTGAAAAGGTCTTCGAAAACTAATAAACAACAAAATTGGAATATTCTTTTTTAATATTTCTTAAGCTAATCGAAGCTGCAATTGACGCCAAACAGAATTAAATAAATGCAACTAACACGATGGCAGCAAGTCAAGAGCAGAGTTCCACTGAAGGGCTTGAACTGATCTACTGATTGTATGCTAGTATAAACGTCTATACATAAATAAAGTAAATTTTTTTTCATCTCTCATTTTCTAATCTCAATTTATTTGTTTTTGAAAGTGTGCTTTTTTTGCCTTCTAACTTTAAATACTTTGTTTTAATAATTCATAACAGGTTCGCTTTGTGTTATTCAAAAACGCTTAATTGGGAATATGTATTAGTTTAAAAAGTTTAAATTTTGATTTACTAATGTATGACGAGCTCTATATATATTCGTCCCCCGGTTCGTGAACCATTCAATTGGAATGCATTCATTTTGTGCGTGTGTGCGTGTGCATACAGGGCGTATGTTCATTTTACTGTTGCATACTTTGCAGCGCCATGAAATATTTTTGCTGCCAACGGCTGACAGTTCAATTATGCGCTCTTCGGCGCGTGTATTGAAAAATTACAGCTCAGTCATGACCGCAAACTCGCTACACTCTCCACTATACTATTTGTCCGCCATATTCAGTTTTGTTCACCCACATTTGCCAGCCCCAGAAAAACAAACAAAATGCGCAAAATAAATAAAGCATAGGCAATTGTTAAAATGATGGGTGCGTTTGATGTGTGCGTGCGGGTCACATAAAAGAACGAAAATTCCACGAAATATAAAGCAATATCTACATACATATATAGATAGTATATATCATAGAAATCAAACCGTTCAAAGGTTATTATAGTTATAGCTGTTTAAATGTTGTACAGTGTATGTAGCATATTGTATGCATGTGTGTGTACGAGAGCGAGACAGAGAGAGAGAGAGAGAGTATGAATGGCATGAGCGTACAGATTAATTAAAGCAACTATATGTGATTAAATAGTATTGTAAGCTGGAAACAAATTCAAATGAATTGATTTGACGTTGTACTGACACGTGTGTGAATATTGAGGAAAATTATATGTATTTAGAATAATAGTCGGCTGAATAAAAAGTGTGCGTACTTTTAACTAAACATATCACTTGTGTATCTATGCTACTTGATGTACAAGCATAATAAAAAAAACTACAATTTTACAATTTTAGATATAGTTAGAGTTAAGCTCTGTATGTATGTCCCTCTATATTACAATTCAAAGCTTAACCAAACTGGGTTTAGACAACCATGAAATCGAAACATATCATCTGCAGCGCGCAGTAAAACAAAACAGCATAGAATATACATAGATACTTTATTAGATACCTACTTATATATATATATATGTATATATATACAAGAAAATACATTTGAATTATACAAGTTTATTAGGCTTAAATGGAAAGTAAAATCTGAAAGTTTTATTTGTTAACTTTTAATACAAACGCAAAAGCCATGTGGACGCGTGTTTAAGGCCATTACTTTTAGATTTATATTTACATTTGCACAAAAAGTATATATACTTATGCACATTAAATCGTAGTAAAATAATGTCTGCACTGCCTATTAAACATATCTTGCACTCAATATTTTGTAACTTAATTTTTTGAATACATTTTTTAGCAAATTCTTGTATATTCCTGTCATTAGATTAGGTTGTTAGATATCTAAATATAAATATCAGCAGCATATCAATGCAAAAGCTTTGCATTATTTTAATATACATATACTTACGAAACTAGTTGTGACAAAATTCAAATTCAAATACATATCCATTTAATGTGAATGTAATTACAAGTATTGTAAGGAAAAGAAATGACAGCCACTTATGTATGTTTTATATGCCTTGGTTCTTGCACCACAAATGACTTGATTTCAGGGATCTTCAGCACGAGCATAAAAAACATAGAACTAACATACATAGAAATGGGTTTCATTTCACAACTGTAACCGAACGCATCAATTTATGGACCTTTTGTTATGTGAATTATGTATTAAAATATGCCTTACATGTTAAATTGAAATCGATTTGGAGCTAAAACTTTAAGAAGATCCATAAAACATACTTAAGCAATATTTATCCAAAGCAAGACTGAAGGTCCTCCGCAAAACGTCTTTTCAAAGTTTTTTGTTACATTTATCGATTTTAGTGGAAAATACAAGTACTTATTAAATTTTCAATTAGTATAATATGAGAAATAAGTGAAAAAACAACGAAAGTTTATAATTTGTTACATGTATTTTTATATTGATAAAGAAAAGAAGAGACAGAGAGAATAACAGAACTCGCTATCTTCGTTAAGCTGTCCTTTTTAAATACTTATTGTTAACTTACATTTAAACGCATTTCTCTACTTATCTATCATGCATACGAGTATGTATGTATGTGTATGTATGTATACCTCCTATTAACTATGAATGTATGTACTTTCATTCCAAATCAAGAAAACACAAGTACTTTGATGTGTATAACGTTTTCGTCTCCATTAATGTGTATTGCCTGTTATTAAAAACTGAAACTATAAGGTACCTAAACAAACATATCTATTTACTTAACACAAGAAAAAACTCTCTAAAATATTACAACTTTCAATGTACATATCAACGGAAAAACAAAACAAATTTCAATTATAAACGCGAACCGAATTCAACAAATTGTATGTGTCCCAAAATCAACATTCTAAGCTATGAACATTTTACGCATGCAATGAATAAATGTCAAATTTATGAAAATAATGCAAAAATCGTTGGTTTTCTTCTACTAAGTATGATGCATTAACGTATATCATGGGTTAAGGTTACAAAGAGGTTACAAAGAGCTTTTTCTAAAAGCTGAGATACGCACCCAACATCTGAAATTTAACAGCGCGAAAAGCTCTTCCCATAATTCTGTTAACACATAACAGGGAGAATTTTCGTGCTACAATTGTAAATCGCAATTGCTCCGAATCAGACGTCTAATTTTTTGTAGATAGGCGTGCTGTTGCATTCTAGAAAAGCACTTATAATAGATATAAATTCTAGTATTTGCAATAAGTTAAATAAAAAGTTCTATAGTAGTAATAAGTTTTCGAATATGTGGCAAAAACAACGACTAAATATGTGTGTCAAAAAGTGTTGTCATCATCAGCTGTTTATTACTCGACAGCTGAGTGGCGCTGCAGTAGAAAGGCAGGAGGTAAGTATGCAAGCAGAATTGCGCTCTTCATATTAAAAGAGAGAAAGAGAGCAAAATACCAAAACAGAGAGCCATTCACCTTTGTGTACAAACAAACAAGCCCACTTGGAAATTTGACGATAAGTTTCGTTACAGCTCAGCCAGAAGGTAATGGACGAAACCGAGCCAGCTCCTGCACGAATCGATGAGGAATGGTTGCAGGCTAAGCCGTATGCTGAAATTCCAGGACCTAGTGTTATGCGCACTATATCCTACTTCTTACCTGGCGGTAAATTGATCAATTTCTGTTTGTTTCTACTCCGTGAAAAGAAGGTTTGGTAAAACTTTGGTCAAATTTGTTGCAACTTCTTTTCTTACTCACTAAAATTGGGTTGATTTAAATCAAAATTCGTGCTTGAATTTAGTTTCAATCATAAAATACGGAACTTACAAATCAATTAATATAACCACTATATGTACATACTTGTATATACAACAACATCGATCAAGGATCACTCTGTTCGCCTTTAGTCGAGTTGAGTTTATTTTACCAGCTTTTTTATCCTGCCTTGCAGGAAAACTTTACAACACAAACCTAATTGAGTTAAATCGTCGTATGCGTGAGTGGTATGGTGATATATATCGCATGCCTGGCATGATGGGAAAACCGGATGTTGTGTTCACATACAATCCGAATGATTTCGAGGTAACTTATCGCAATGAGGGCCTGTGGCCCATACGCATTGGCTTGGAGAGCTTCACCTTTTATCGCAAGGTTCATCGTCCGGATGTTTTTGGCGGCATCGGCGGACTGGTCTCGGAGTAAGCTGCCAAAACGTTCAATGTTAATGAAGTTCCCTTTATCTTAAAGTTTCTCACTTAGACAAGGTAAGGCATGGGCCGACATACGCAACAAGGTGAATCCCGTGCTGATGAAGGTGTCGAATGTACGCCAGAACTTGCCACAGATCGATCAAATTGCTCAGGACTTTATAGAGAAGTGGGAATAGTTATTTAAGTTCATATCAGAATTTAATTTGGAACTCATTCTTTGTAGACTAGGGACCTTGCTCGATTCACAGACGCATACAATTAGTGGGGACTTTCACGAAGAACTGAAAATGTGGGCTTTTGAGTCCATTAGCTATGTGGCACTCAATAGCCGCATGGGCTTGCTGTCTGACCAACCAGATGCTAATGCTGCTCGTCTAGCTCAGCATATGACCGAGTTTTTCGACTACAGCTTCAAATACGATGTACAGCCATCTATTTGGCCCTATTACAAGACGAATGGATTCAAAAAGTTTCTGCAAACCTATGACAAAATCACGGAGATCACAACGAACTACATCGAAGCGGCCATTCAGAATTTCGAAACAGAGGACAATGCGAAGCCGAAAAGTGTTTTGGAACAACTACTGCGTCTTAATAAACAGATTGCTGTGGTTATGGTCATGGATATGCTAATGGCAGGCCTCGATACGGTAAATAATTATGAACTTGCATTCCAAGACTGCACTAAAAAATCGTCACTTAAAAAATCATTACCAAAAATATTGCCACGCAAATTATGGCCTTGGAGTTAATCGAATTTAAAAAAAAAATGCATTTCTTTTCGAATTTCTAAAATCTATTGCTTTTACTACACAAGATAGTTTTGTCCCAATATCATATTAGGACATTTTTCCATTTCCAAATTCGATTAACATATTTGCGGAATTGAAAAATAGTTCCAATAACGGATGAATAATTCGCTTTCAAAAGTAGGTAGGGGTAGAAGCTGCGCTTTAGTTTAAAGATTTAATTCAAATTTTAATTTTATATGAAACGAAAAAGGCCTGATTAGCTTTTTATGCGCATTAAATTTTTGATTCATTTTTTAATGTTGCAAACCTATTGCATATATCTGTGCATGTTAGTGTAATTTTGCAAATAAATGGCTGTTTAATTAAAACCCAATTACAATTTGCATTACACATGTGCCTCAAGTGTCTAGGCAGTTATTAAATGAAAATTATTTTATGAAACAGCAAATTTTGGCGTACGATTTTTATATTTAAAAAAAAATGTATTCCATATTTCTCTCTATTCATATTAGACCTCATCAGCGTTTGTCACCATTTTGTACCATTTAGCGTGTAACCCCGTGAAGCAGGAGCGGCTTCGTCGTGAATTAAACGAAATTCTGCCCAATCCCAACAATGCTCTGACCAATGAGAACACCAAAAATATGCCCTATTTACGCGCTTGCATCAAGGAGGGACTGCGCATTACGTCCATCACACCCGGAAACTTTCGCATCACCACAAAGGATCTGGTGCTGTCCGGGTACCGTGTGCCTCGGGGAACTGGTGTGCTCATGGGTGTGCTGGCCCTTTCAAATAGCGACCAATACTTTCGACACAGCGCCGACTTCATGCCAGAGCGTTGGCTGAAGGCAGGCAGCAGCGCCGATGCCTGCCCTGAGGCCCGCTCCAGTAACCCCTTCGTCTATTTACCCTTCGGCTTCGGACCCCGAACCTGCATTGGCAAGCGTATCGCGGAGCTGGAAATCGAAACCCTACTGATTCGTTTGCTGCGACAATATAGAGTACGCTGGCTGGGAGATCAGCCCCTGCAGTACGCGAGCACCATTATCTTGGCGCCGCAAGGCAACATTCAGTTTAGTTTCGAACCGATCGCTTAGCCAAAAGGTTATCAAATTATTATAATATACGAGTACGTAGTATTATGATTTATTAAATTCAGCAGAACTGAAAAATTCAGATGTATTAGTGACTGTGGAGAGTTGGTAAGTAGTTGGATATTGGATAAGAGAGTGGGGACGGGGACTGTTTAGCGTCGGTTGCGCCCACGATAGCGTTGGTTTTGATTTCTTTGCTGCTGGTGCGGGTTTTGTGATTTTGGCTGACTTTGTGGCTGATCTGGCTGCGCATAGGGCTTCATAAATATGGAGTCGAAATCGGAAGCAGGCGTTTTCTCTGTCTGTGCCTGTACCTCTGCTCCAGGAATGGGACTGGAAAAAGCTATAGAACGAAAGTGAAACCACTGGTGCTTGAAGGCCGCTTAATTCAGGCACTCACCGATTTTGAGGTATGACTTGTCACTCGCACTTTTTTGTGTGGATCCTGGCCCAAAACAATTATTGAGGGCATTAAAAGAGCTTGGGGAACCTGTCAGGCGAAGAACAAGATATGTATGTGCATTAATTGTTGCCCATAAATAGGCTTCAAATCGAAACAGAAATAGTAGACTACAAAGCATGCAACAATGTGGAAAAGTGTTCAACAAACCGATTGGACTATAAAATATGTCCTCGGAGGAGGTAGCGGGTGTTAGGGTCTCAACAGTTGGAGTCATAACGTTAGGATAATTGGATGGGACGATTAATTGGGTGGTGGACCTCCGAGATACATTGCCATCGTTTGGTGCTTCATTTCGCTGCTTTTCAATATCTTGATAGGACTGATAGGACTGGGCGGAATGAACAGTACAATTGCTTTTGCTGGTGCTGGCGCTGGTGCTGCTGTCCGTTTCATTGTCTTCGTTATCGTTATCGTTATCATTGTCAGAGTGGCTATCATCGTTGTTGCTATCGTGATCGTTGTCATTGTCCTTGTCATCGTCATTGTCATTGTCATGATTGGAGTCGGTGTCGTGTTCAGTGGTTACTGTTGTGTTTAAAGATATGTACGGAGTAACAAAAACAAAGACAAAATACTGTTGTTAATTTGTTATTTTGTTAAAAGAGATGTGTCCGAATAGATTGTTTAAGGTGTACGAGCATGCCAGGTGAGATTTACCTGCTGCCACAGTGTTGCTAGTGCCGTAGAGACGTGTTGACGCAGCGCTAACGTGTCCTGGAGAGGCCTTCCACTGATCCTCTTTGGGCAGGAGCTGCTGGGATATCGACTGCACGGCTGTTGAAAAAGTGAGACAGAAGAAAGACAGAAAGACTACGTGAGGACAGTTCGCGGAAGGTGAAGCCAAACTGTGCTGAACTCAAGTAAAAATTTTGAATTTTCAATATGCTCGTAGATGTGTCAGAGGGGTAGACGGGGAAGGGGGCCGTTTAAAATTAAGAAAGCTGCAAGTTATGGAATGTTTTGAGCTCGAGTATATTTTTGATTTCATGACAAGATTTTGAGTTTTTCAGTTACTTCATTTGATATGCTTAGAGTTTATGCATTTTTGTTCGATACCTGTTGTAAACCTAGGACTTAGGCAATAGCTACTAACGACTGTTTATAGGTAGGTGTGTAGATGTACTTCATAACATTTCTAATGCCCATTACCAAGATCTGATGACTGCGCTTGCAGGGGCTTCTTATGATCGTTGCCATTTCTTGTTATCGGCTCATTGTGGCCGAGATCAGTTGCTGGCTCCGCCTTAGCTTTAACCTCGGCCTTCTCTTCCTTCTCGTTATGCTGTAAGTGGATGTACAAGTAGGATGGATGTTAGAATGAGATGAATGATAGAGCTTGGCTCTGCTCTTACCTCATCGTGCTTCTCCAATTCCGAAGCGCTTGTTTCGGCACTGCTATCTGTATTGGAACTATCATTGCTGCTGTCGCTGTCATCATCGTTCTCCTCATCTTCAGCATCGGGCACAAAATCGACGTCATCTTCGGAGTTCTCATTCGCATATTTCGCCAGCATTTCTTCAATGGTCAGGTTGTGATCGATGCTGCAGTCCTCATCCCGTGGCCGCTTTGCGATCGGCTGTCTTTGTCCCGCCTGACTCTGATTTTGGTTCGACTGAAAAGCAATAAAGATGGCATTTGTTTTGATTCGGTTTCCTACCACGTTTGGCGCACTGAACGCACCTTCTGCTCAGAAACTCCACCACGTATGTGGAATAGCCGACCACTGTTTTCCCTTTGAACTCCTGGTCGGCAGATGGCTCGTGACCACCAAAACGCAAACTTTTGGCTGTAATTCGTGCTAGAACCCATGGCAGCCTCCTGCTGGCGTTGCCGCATGACCTTCAACCCATGAACTCGTATGGCGCGCAGTTTGCGTCGCCGAGTTTGTATGAAATAGATCACATCCGAGGGAGATACCGGTCCGTTGCCAATCATCAGAGCGCCCAAGGAGAGCCAAATGCGCGTGAGTCGCAACACTAGGATCATCCACAGAAATAGTGTCCAGGGCAGAGGACGCTCCGGCAAACAGGCGTTTTCATCTACCGTGTTGGAAGTCTCTTTAGTCCTTTGTTAGTTTAGTTCGCATTGTGGCTTACCTCGCGGCAAGCTCCACTTGGCCGTATCCTCGATCATCTTCAGTGCTCTATCGGCTCGCTCGATGACGTATTGGCCCAGCCATGTGCTGGCAAAGCGCTCGGCCTGCCTGCGCACCTTGTCGTAGATTCCTCCACTGCGTGGTTGCTGCTTCTGCAAATCCCTGACCTCGTCTTCGTCATCATTCATATGTGGTTGCTTCTGCGCCACCGCCATTCCTTTCGATTCCTGCGCCATCTCTGCAGCAACAATTTAGGAATGTGTGACTAACGCATTTCAATTTGCACATGGGATTTGGGTTATAATTTAATGGCAAGCTGATTATCCCTAATTGTTTTCTATATGTGTATGTTTGTAAAGATCATGCGTTGGCATAAGACTTTGCGTGATTATGCCCTGCAAAGTCAGCTATAAACTTAATGTCTGCTGCGAATGCTGTGAATAATCCGACTATTATCAGTTTGCATTGCCGCTTTCGATTTAAATTTGTTGTTTTTAGTGGCGACTGTCTGTCGAAACTTATATGCGATGCGATAAGTGCGAAAAGTGGCAGTGACTAACAACAAAACTGAAAACAAACTAAGTGTTTTAAAATTAGAATGTCTGAACTTTGGTCGTACCGCTGCTAACCATAATTCAGTAGGAAGTGCTAGGAACAGTGTTGCAAGCAGACTTATATACATAGATCCGCTTCCTGGCGAGACTTTCTTAAAAATAAAAAGCTAACTGCCTATACATACATATGTGCATGGTCGTAAAGCAACAACTTGTATACTACTCTATACTTGTACTACATAATTGTATGTAGATTTATATACGCTAATTGTTTATATTTATAGCGCTTATTGCATCGCCAAATACGTGAGTAAAAACATATTCAATTAAATAACAAAAACAATAAAGTTATCAAATTTGCTGGCGGAAGATCAAAGTGTATCGAAAGTAAATGCAGGCATGCGAACGAAAAAGACAAAAAGCGAAAAAAATCTCAAATCGCACACTCACTACCACAGAATCTGAATAGCAATGTAAAGAGCATAAAGAAATTGCACAGCGATTTTTTTTAGAAATCCTCCTTCAACTCTGACAGTTCAAGAAGACGAAAACGAGGAAGAGGAGGCATACAAAAAACTAACTGCGACATTAAACTTGTTGGACTCTCGCTGGCTCTGTCCCTTTCCATTTAGCTACGCCTCCACCTTTTTTCGACTTCGACACCCACCTTTAGCATTACAAAATGTGCAAGCGCCAGCGAACTGATAACGGTAGTTTTAATTAAATGGCGAAGTGAAAATTGGAAAACAAAGTACGCGGATTAAACTAGCACTTAGGCTTAAACTATGTACTATGTGGGACATCTGATGGCAATACTTACTGCACTTGTTAATAATGTATGTATATTGTGGCTCAAAATATTAACCGAAATGTTTTTGTACTAAATGTGTTTTTACAACAACTTTAACAACTTTTACAACAATAAAAGCCCTTGCGTCTTAAGGCACCAATTTAAATCCAAGTCACTGACAATGTTTCACCTCCAAGTGTGTGCGACGATGCAGCTGCCCAACTCCCGAGAGACTGAACAGTAAAATTCTTACGAGCCGAATCTGTTGGTGCCGTTTAAGAACGGCTCAGAACATCTCGCACTCGCTATTTTTCAAAAGCAACTCAAACAGCGGGAGAGAAAAAGAGAGAGAGGGAGCAACAAAATGAGTGCACAAGCCATTCTAAACTATGTTCCATTTAGGCTCTTTAAATGTAAGTGTGTGTGTATGCACTTTGTAAAGTAATCATTTTGTTAGCCTAATTAAGGCGGCTAATGTTGCAGAGAGGTAGGGGTATGGCTTTTGTACCAAGTTTTCTTAAAATCCTAATGAAGCAGCGTGGAATGCAACCGCAATGATCTAAGAGGTTAGAAAAGTATAACAACCGCGGCTGATGATTGTATATACTTGTAGTATAATATGATGGTTGTATATACATCTAATTCTGTTTTTACACGGTAGATTGGTTTTAGAAAAAGTCGTGAAAAAACCGTGTAAAAAAAGACATGGATCATAGGTTATTTTAAATCGTGCTAAAAGGAATAATGTCGTGTAAATGTTCAAGCCGAGCTAAATCATAACCGTGTAAAAACAGAATTAGGTGTATAGTATAATATGATGGTTGTATATAATAATTTAGGCTGAGGGCTTCTTTGTAACGGTTAAAGACCGATGTTATATGTGTAGGCTGTACAGCAAACACAAATTAAATGGAACAAAAATTAATCGGCGGTTGACAAAAGTACGATTTACCTCAAACTGTTTTTCAATAGCAAAATGTTTGTTGATAGCCCGATTTCAGCTCTATTAAAAAAATATTCAGATACATACATATGTATGTATGTAAGCGCTCACTTGAGAAATAGTAGAAAATGCCAAATAATCGGGAAGCGAAACAACAATTCTATTGAAACTTTACCCATTTTCACGGAAAATTTCCGGTAAATGACGGGTCTCTTAAACTAAAGATTAACATGTTTTAAGGGACGCACGCCTTGTAATAATTCTAGCATTAAATTAGGTTCACGATTTAAATATATTGAAACGTAATAGTTTTTTTTATGTAATAAGAACATTAAGTAATTTTTAGTTATGTTTATATTTTTTCATTTATTTTTATTTAGGCGCGCGATATCTCTCAATCGAATCAAACCACAAATCCACTCAAACGCAGGCTCTCTGGCTCAGAACGAATGTACGAAAGCTTTCCGTGCGCGACTAGAGAACAAAAGCTTTGCCCAAATATTTAGTTGCGCAAAAACTCTCCACGGAAGCGGACGGGCAGACACCAAAAAGACCAGGACGCGTTACTAGCGCGCGTTAACTGTGCAACACGACGTGGTTAGCGCAGGCAACACACAAACACACACACACACATACACAGATACCAATGCAAACCTACATGTGAGCTAGGACGCGACTGACCAAAAGCAGAGAACGCTTGGCCAGTCAGCCATTCAGCCAGCCAGCCAGCCAGCCAGCCAGCCATCGCCATTCATTGCCATTCATCTGACGCGTGTGTAAAAGTTGAAAAATTGTTTGAGCCCAATTAAAAAATATTTGGCAAAAGCTATGTGCGGTGTAAATTATTTACATACATATGTGGAAAAAATGTTGTGGCAACGTACATGAGCATATAAAAGCCCGAGCCGAGTGCGAGCGCGAGTGCCCATCGTAGATACAAGTGTGTGTGGAGGAGCAAAGGGAGGCCCGAAAAGCAATGTAGCCAGCCGAGCGTGCGAACCTACCAATCCACCAATCCACCAATCTACCGAGCTACCTACCTACCGCATACTCGTATGCCGCCAATCTTGTAGCGGCCTGTGCTGTGCTGTGCTGTGCTGTAGTGTGTGTGTGGTGTGTGTGTGTGTTTCTAAGACCACACATGGCAGCAAACAGCAGTATGTGTAAGTGATATGGAATGTGTGCTGTGCCATACCTATTCTGTTATTGTTTATAAAATGCTCAGTAATTGATAAACAGCAGTACATGCAACCACACAAATGGAATGATATAAGTCGCCAAGAGTGTAGAGAAGAAAACAACAGTAAAGAAATATATGTGTCAATACTATGTGCCTTACACTGTTGTCAAAGTATATACACAAGTATATAGTGCATACGTAGGCCTACATACATATGTATGTATGTATGTATATACAGCAGGCTCTCACAACTCGCACGTAATCCTTAATCCCTTTTCGTTTGGTTTCCACTGAACTGCGCGCCCCCAGCACTTGACCCGATGATGCTTTAGCTCCGACTTAGGTTGCGTTTTAAGCTTCACATTCTGTGCTATTTTTATGGTGGCGGCACACACCCACACTCACACACACACACACACACACATGACACCTGTCCAACCGCCCCGCTAAGCTTTTTAGGCTTAAAATTAGCACGTTGCTGGAAAAATTTGTTATTGTTTGGCGCAGTGGTAGCAAAAAAATGTGCACACATATTTTGTACCAATAAACATACAAGTATTTGTCAAATAAAAAGGGGAAAATATTCTACAGAGATGCTTTTGAGGAGAACGAGCCTCACATTTTTAATTATTGCTGAGACTGGTCAGAGGTTATCGCGTAGGGCTATATATATATATATATATATATATGTAGATAATCGAATCTAAGCCAAAAACCTCTCTACAATAATGTAATTATAACATAATTCAGATTATTACATTATTTCCAAACGAACTATAAGATTTCAGTTCGATCTTTAGTTCAAGCAGCATTTTTCAAAAATACTCGAATATATATTAATAGGCATCATATTTTTAATTATGGCTGAGACTGGTCGTGGGTTATCGTCTAGTGTTATGCACATACGCGTTAGTACAAACATTATTGTCGGCCCATATGCGATCTTCTTAGGGTCGGCAGCTGTTGGCCTCGTCGTAATTTCTTGCAACATGCCAAGTGTGGCGACAATGAGATATCGCCTCTGGCCTCAACCTTTCGAAAATAGTTTTCCTCCCCAGCCCCACTACGCCTCCCTTCACCAGTTAATTGCACCTGCAGTTGGCCCAACAATGCCTCTGTAATAGCATTCTGCATTATTTATGAATATGCTAGTGAGCTGGTTAGTGGGCTTGTGGCCATTGGGAATGGCTACAACGTACGAGTATAGGCCACCTTTTGATTACAAACATTACCTTCGTAGTGCCAATCAAGTTCAATGAGTCTAATTGACCACTCCAGTGGGCAAGTGAAGGATATGCATACGTCACGGTTGGCGGCAACCTTTACCCTTACTCAACATGAAGGATACGAACTTATCCTTTATTTATGTACGAGCACCGTGCCGTGTTCGCCTCCCACTTGTGTCGCGACAATCCACAGAGCATGTGTAGTTCGGGTTTTATGACACCTTCCCCTCGCGATAGAACAGTATCACCAGAATACGCAAAATGTATTTCCCCGCCCTTTGGATGACAAAACGTCTTTAAAAAAGTTAAAAGTTCATTGGTTTTGTCTTGTTTTTATGAAAATTGAGTGAATTTAGTACAAAGCTTTGTTAAAACTCCACTTCGTATAAAAGTTTTTTGTATTTTTAAATAAGAACTTAAGTCCACGTAAATGTTCAAACTTATAAAAATAAAACCGACTGGCATGCAAATACACTGCTTGAAGCAGTGCTTTAAACAGACAGAAAATTTGGGCTGCGGCTTATTTATGATCAATATTTAGTTCGAAAAATAAACGAATAAAAAATAATAAAACAGCAGCTAAAAGTATTGGATGGCTTTGCTTTAGAACGGACATTACGCAAGAAGAAAACAAGCAGATACATCACTTTAGGAGATCACTAAGTAGATTTTGAAATAATAACGATAAATAAATATTGAATGGCTCTGTTTAACTGTTGAGCTTTAACCATTTTCGATCCGAAAAGTCCTATCTATAGTGTTTGCTAAGTATTAGTTTGTGCCATTTCATTTATTATTGATAGGACTACCGTGGCTAGTATTGGTTTTTTCATTTATTAATTTGATGAAGAATTGTCAATATATACTTGCACTTACTTCTTTAGCGGATATTGTCTATATAGTAAATCTATTATTATTGCGTTCGACACAATTTTCCAATTTTCTCTGCTCACTAGAGGTCTCTCTAGTGAGTAGGTCCAACCTCCGTTCAAAGGAGGATTACTATAGTATTGACTTATAGGTAAAAGTTTTGAAATTTCAACAAAATATAGAAACAAACCACACTTTTTTTCATCAAGTTCTCGGAAACGAAGCCGTTAACAAAACGCGTAGGACTTTGTTTTTACTTAGGCATTGCAAATCTATTTTGAATTAGAAAAATGTGTAATAGAAGGAAAAGTTAATTAACATATTTGGTATCCACCAGTATTTGCGCAATCTATTTTGTAGCACACCAGACTTGCAGTATCCGAAAACTTTCGCCAGTGCACAATAGGGTATTGATTCAAAAAGAAATTAGCACCTGTCTTAAGCTAACAAGCTGCTTGAAAGCAATAACTAAAGCACACAACAACACACAATGCACAATGGCTTTTAACGGCAAAACTATGACTAAAATATGACTTAATAGCATTCGAAGCAGCGGCGCACACACACAGTTGATAGTTGATAACAAAGGCTAGAGCCTAGCAGCAGGTTTGCGTGCTCGAGAATCAAAAAACAAGGGAATTATACATGCATACATACATATATGTGCGCTACTAGTTAATGCAGGAAGTACAACAACAAAAACAACAGCAATAAAAGCACAACAAGTACAGCGGCGCCGAGGGCAATCGGTAGTGGCGTGGGTCTAGACAGCCGCCTGACGCCAACCGCTGTTAAGGATACAAGTTAAAAGAGCCCAGCAACAAACAACAATGCGTGTTCACAGTCGGGAATCAAAACAATGACGTCATCGTCATCACTGGTAGCAGCAATAGGATTCAAAAAGTTCCACCAGCGCCAGCACCAGCACTGAAAAGCACCAGACTCCTCGCACTAAACAAACAAACAACGCAAAAGCGGTAGCTTCGTACAATACAAAGGAAATAAGAAAAAAGGAGCAAAGGCTGCGCTGCCATAGGGAAATAGTAAATAAGCCGCACAAATGTCGGAACACTTGCCTACATCGTCAACAGGTGAGCACAAAACGCAGCCCACGTACACAAATAATCATCTTCCTCGTATACAAATATGTGTACACTTTTCATCAACATTCTCGTGACCCTTAATAAATGGGATGTGTGTGTCCTTTTTGCTGCTGCTGCTTCGTATTCAGAATATCTGATCCCGCTGCAAGCCATAACATTATTGCTGATAAGCCCAATTCAAATACATACCTACTACAAGTATGTATATTCATAGCTACTTACCTAATTCGAGTATTTACTCACAAGTCTACATTCATATGTATAGGGATGGGATGTGTGTGTATGTGATTTTGTGTGAGCATTATAAGGGTTTATTGTTCATGACAGCGCTCGTGACCATTCCAAACAGTCCTTGCTGGCCATAAAAACTTCATGGGGAATTTATTTTGCTTCTTTTATGCCATCAGAGTACATGCATTTGGAAGCCGAAGGTCAACTAATGTTACTTTTTCATATTACGATGCACAGGAGCCCTGAATATGTCAAACTAATAATGTTCAAAACACTTTACGATACAATTACATGCGCATTATGCGTAAAGTTCCGTTGCCGACACTGCAAGTTGTGCGATGATTGAACATTATTAGGGCTCTTGCCTCAACGAGTCAATTTAATTAACGTCAAAGTTCCAAGTACGGGCCTGGTTGATGTGTCATTCAATTTTAGTACGGGATGTACTTTTTCAAAGCACTGAATATGATCAAATATAATAAATAAAAGACATATTTAAATACCCCAATAATACATTGCATTAGAACAACCGTTTAATTATCAAATTAAATGCTTCGGCCTAAAAGTATGCCATAGTTTTGTTAATTTTCGTTCGTGGTGAGAAGATGTTTATTTTAACAGACACACTGTTCCGCTGTTAAGTAAAACTAATTAAAATGTTACCCATATGTTATCTACAAATAGCTGGCTGTGTCGGCCTTTTAAAACTTGATGGGCCAAGCGTTAGAAAATTTAAAGGACCTATGAATTTATTAAGCCCAATGCACAGAACTGCAATTTTAATGGCATTTTAAATCCACAGTGGCTAACCTACCGTGAATTTCTAGCAATGAATGCTAGCAATACCAAGAATAGCTTCTACTTAAAATTCATTAAATAATTCATTAAGTCCGGTACCTGGTTGATTTTGAAAATTTTAAAAAGACATACTTTGTTCTAAACTTCATAATATCGAAACATTTTTAAAATTACTTTCCAGTTGATAGAAAGAACAATCCAAGGATATCACTTTCCTTTAGCAGCTAACTACCTCCCTTTTATTATACGCTATTTATTTATGTTGGGAGAAAGAGTCAAAACTGCATTGCATTTTCAAGGCTAAGCAAATGCGCGGAAGTTAAATTGTGACATAACCGACATGTACAAGTATTGGTCCCATGTGCCATGACGACATAACATCAAAAATAGCTACAGTTGCGCTTTGTTTGTTCCTTTTCTCCCATGGGAGCACTCCCGGCATTATGTTCCCTGACATTGAATTTTTGAGTGTGAGTTTGTTTAATTCTCTTAGCCTTGCGTACACACCCAGTAGATATTTTTCACAAGAGTCATTGCAAACATAAATAACTTTTTTAATTAATTAAAATGGCAAGGCCAAGTGCATAGTGGTTGGGCTAAACAAATTATAGGATGTCTGCATTGAAGCGGTCTGACATTTTAGCTTCGAAATGAATGTATTGTATAGCAATAAGAGTTCAAATAATCATTTGTCCGAGAAGCAATTCAAACAAATAGATACACGTATATTGATGTATCAATAATGTATTTATTTATAGCATGAGGATACTATTAATTCTACTACAGAGTATAAATAGGATATCAAGCACCTGATGTCAATAAACTCACTGCAAGAACAGCAGAGAGTCAGCGAGGAGCAAAAGTGGGGCACTCTACACACATCTGTGTGAAGCTTTTGTTGGCGCAAAGCTTTTTGTGTTAACTTACTCACACACGCACACCCGCACACACACGCACACACACACATACTCGCATACACATGGCACAATGTGCATAGAATGAAGAAAGAAAACACACACGCACACCAAAGTCACAACATCAAACAACAATCTCATGTAGGCAAATACGAATATATTTGCATTTATATATGAATGTTCTATGTACAGTATAACCACAATGAACTGCACAAAAAGGTTCAGATATTTCACTAAATTCTACAAAAAATTTAGAAAAAATATTATTAAATCAAATAGCTTACTTATCTCATAGCAAAATGATGTTGTTCAATGCAAATATTCTTTGATGAATAAGTTTTAAAATGTCCGAGCACTACATTGTGTTATTCTGCTTCTTATAAGAATATATATATAGGCTTCGGCTTCAATATTCATGTATTTGTGTCTGGATTTGTGGCTTCAAAGAAAAAAGTCCATCTAATCAAGAAAAGGTTCAGTGTCGTCGACCAAAATTATAAAGCAAGTAGCAAACCGTCTCAGACTCAGATAGTCTCAGTCTTTCCCTTTAAGAATTATATTCAAACATTTTTAAAGCACTATTTGTTTTCAACTTTCAACATCAGAGTGTCATTTACTTACGAATGTTTTAGACAACTGTGCCAAGTCTACACTATAAATGAAATGTATGCTTAAGTTTGCCTTTAATCTGTACTATCGAGCTTCCACTGTGCGTGTATGTGTAGTTGTGGGTGGTTGCATATCCGCTGTACCGTTAACAATAACAGCGTCGAGCACCGCAGAGCGAGTTCCATGGCTTCAGTTCAGCTGCCAAAAAGTGTAGCAGTCTTTTAGGGGCACTGCTGCTGTGCAGTCGTCGTAGCGTCCGCCTGAAAATAAATAATAATAATTTATGTGCATTGCTTAGAGAGCAATTTTAGTTTCAGTTTCAGTTCGTATTTTCGATTGTGAGTGTCTGTGTGAGACTTGTGAATAAATTATGGCCCTTCATGCGCCTTCAAAACTATGGTTTCAGTGACCGAACACGTGCATAACTTTGCATGAATTATTCAGTTATAGTGCATTCGGGCGAACCTTGATCAAAGTTAAGCGTGCCTTGGGCAAATGATAAACAATAGCAACATGAGTTCGGCGTAAGTGCAATGGGAAAGAAAAAGAAGACTGTGGTGCTTTGTTCTGGCATAAATAAAATATTTCCAGCTACAGGTATGGCTGCAAAAAAATTGGCAATTTTCATTAAAATAATTAAGTGAGTAGCCGCAGCAGACGCTGCAATTGAGAGTTCTGAGCAGCACAATGATGTCATGCAGACATAGAGCATAGCGTAATAAAAAGTACAAAATTATACAGGCAGCTCGAGTGGTTCGCCACGCTTAGATCGCCTGTCCTCTTTTAAACACAGTACATGTATTTAGGTGTGGGGTGGGGCAGTGCCCGCCCTCCATTGTTGTTTAATCGATTACTAGTGTGTGTCGAGTTGCGTGAGATTGAAATAACTCTGTCCTTTGCAGCGCGTATTCACTACAGCGATGACTGCGCACGGGAGGGAGCTGGCAGCAGCAATAGTGGCCGCCTGGCAGCCACCGCCAGTGTTGATTCTACTAGCAGCGTCGTGCGCGGCGGCACACCGACCTGCTCACCCCACGGCTCTCCCCAGTTACAGCAGCGTCTGGGCAAGCATCTGAGTAAGTCTGCATCAGAGCTGAACGGCCACGACTGCCACAACAACGAATCGCCGCATATCTCGCCGAAACGGGCCAAAAGTGCCGCCTCCCCACACCTCAGCAGCGGCGTGGGCGTGCTACAGAAAACGCACGGATTTTTCAACAATCTTCGGCATCGCTGGACACGGGCACGCAGCAAAGACCGTCTAGGTCGCAAATCCCCCAGCGACTTTCTGGAGGAGAGCACCGACTATGCCGCCGACTATAGCTCGGAGAGCAGCTCAGTAACGCAAAGTCCGCGACATCGGGCAACCACCATCGGTGGCTCACCCCTGGCGCGTGAGTTTCGCGCCACCGCGAAAATGGCGCAGGTTATTCAACGCTTCGGCGGCTCCATGGAGGGCCGGATCGATGAGCATCCAGAGAATGGAGGAGCGAACTCGCCGATGGCAGCCAATGGTGCTGAGATGACAGCTCAACAGCAAATTGATGCTCTGCAGGTGAATCTGCACGCATTTAGATTTCCATTTCGTTTTCTCGTCCATTCATCCATCATTTTTTGTGCCTTAGCTTTGTTGCCATTGGCTTTCCAATTCAAAAGCACTTGAGATTGCAAAACAACATGAGAGACTAACTAAATTTTAAATTCCATTTTGTTTTCTGCGTCTTATCGACTTCGTCTTTGCCTTATCATCGCACGGCACCAATGCTTCGCAAAATAAAAAACCACAACAACAACAACTACTTAACGATATCCGTGCAGGCCGACGAACTGCGTCGCAAACGGGAAGCTCAATTACGTCAATATGTCTTCTTTCAGCTGCGCGTGCATCTCAAATCCGGCAACGACCTGGTGGCCATGGATAAGAATGGTAAGCTGGAGGGGCGCGACACAATGCTCTCTAATTAAATCTTAGGAAAAAGTTAGGTCCATACACACTCGGATGTAAAGAAAGTCCTGATTACAAAGTTTACAAAGCATGCATTCAGAAAAAACGTTGTTTTGTTTTTCTTTTAATGTTTCCAAATCAAATTCATTTTTAAAATTTTAAAGTGCTTCTTTTGCAACATTTATGAATGTAGTTTCTTCAATACATAGGTATTCATTTTGTTTTTCAGTTTTTCAAGCAAACTACAATTCTTTAGGAACTTAATAGAAAGAAAACAATATAAAGGAAGGAGCAATCTTTAACATGCTGAACTCAAATAAGGCTCATTTTCTGTTAAGATACAAATTTAATTAAAATGGCAAATACAATCTTTGATATATAATGAGCATTCAAAAAACTTGTAATTTTATTTAAATATGCATGTTTTCGTTTATTTGGCTAAAAATGAACTGAAATGCACCTGATCTTTAATAGTTTCAACTATAGCCCTACTAACAATCACATTTCTTTAGGTGAAACTCCACTTACTTGTAAATATCTAGTTAGGCACCTATTAATAGTCCCCCAACTATAACAAACTTTACTGCTAACGCTCAGGTCTAGAGCTGGGAACGATCCGACTATATCTATAGTTAATACTTGTATAAAATTATTTGCGGCAATCAGAAACCTGTTTCGACAATCTGCAGAACAACAAGAATAACTTTAATCCAATTTTTAATTAACTGTTTGAATAAAATCGCGATAGTACTAGCAGCTTCTAGAAAAGGAGTTTTGTATTTTTTTTAGAAAAATACTGCTTAAATTTTGGCCACTGCCTCTATTTGCTAGTCTAGTTGGGCCGCTGCCAACAAAACTATCTCATGCCACCAAATGACACGCTGCATTTGAGGAGAACAAGAGACCTTTACGCAATCCATTTATAATATAATATTTCATTCCATTTTGAGGTCTGAGCGATCCGTATGTCAAGTTCAAGGTCGGTGGACGGCTTCTGCACAAATCGCGCACCATACACCGTGACCTTAACCCCGTGTGGGACGAGGTGTTCATTGTACCTGTGGAGGACCCATTCCAGCCCATTATTGTCAAGGTAGGTCCCCAACAACCAACTACTTGTTGATTGCGAATTGTTTGAAGCAATAATAGCCTTACATTTTCCGCAACTCTGCTGAATTACAGCATTAATTCAATTTCAATTGGAAAATGCCTCAGTTTTGATTATGTTCGGCATTTCCGGCTGCTGTTAATGCACTTCCTATTCACAGGTCTTCGACTATGACTGGGGCCTTCAGGACGACTTCATGGGCTCGGCCAAAATCGATCTCACACAACTAGAGTTGGGCAAAGCGGAAGATATTAGACTGCAGCTCAACGATAGCAACAACAGCGAGCGCGGCATGGGCGAGATACTCATCAATTTGACTTTGTGGCCTCGCAGCCAGGAGGACAAGGAAATGGTAAATCAATGTGGAGTGCACCTTGTAGTGACACATATACACGTAAATATTTGAGTTGAATATATTAGTGAGCAATAAATCTATCAAGCACATACATACTATATAGTACAAGTAGTTTGGCATCATTTTTTAATCATTTGTTGTGCCAAACACAGCTGCATATTTGCGATTGAACTAATCAACAATCACATATGTACATACAAGTATTTCTGTTCAGCTCAGAAGGCATACTTATATACTTATATTTTTTGTTGCCATCTGTCACATACTTGCAACGAAGTAAGCCCTTTAGCCATACACACTCTGTAGGTGCCACCTTTCATTACGAGCAGCACCTTAAACAACACTTGTGACCTGCTGGTCACAAGCTCAGCTCTTAATTATGTTCGTGTATGTGCATGTCTGTCCGCTTTGTTGTAATTTATTGTCGTGGTAAAATGTGGGTGAGAAGTGTAATGAAAAAACACTGCCGGCTGTCGACATATCCTACTTACTTACTAGCAAATAATTCTCACCAACTAAAGCTTTATATTTCCTCTCCTGAATTCCTTTTATCAATCTGCCCTTGAAAAGAGTTTTTTTTTTTAAATTTATTTATAGCTATCGCATGATTCTTTTTTCATTCAATGTTTTAGTTTCAACACATCTCTGGTTTATCGGTTGGCGCGATAAGTAGCTTAGAACAACTGAACAATTTATTTAAATTTAAAATCAATCTATGCATTCCATTTTTGTTTATATAAAATAAGTAAATATTATGTGAGCTCTATAAGACATTTCCTGAAGGCGGAACATATTTTTGAAAAATTGACTGTGAAGTGTAAGAGAAACTGTTCTTAACATTTTTAATATTTCTGAGACATTCATTTAATTTCCTTGATTAATTTAAGAAATTCATTGTCTTTAGTTATGCAAAATATGTTTTAATAATAAAAGATTTTTAAACATAAAAGACTTTAATAGTTAAAGAATTAGGAAACTAACTAAACACTCGGTTTAAACACTTTCGCCCTCTACTGTGCGGTCATTCGAAGTGCGCCTATTACTCATAGATTCCGCGGAAATATTTAAACATTATGTCAAAATAAAGCTTACGACAAACTTTTACTTGCACACTCGCACAGCCACAAAGCTAATAGCAATTGTAGTTGAGGCCACGACGACAACAACACTGCCATTTAGTCATTGTTAGTAGTCTAAAGAAATCACTTCGGCTTCGATGTTAATTCCCAAAGGTGCGACGTCATGAAGAGTTTCGGTGTTGGGGCCGACTGGCCCAACTATCGAAGCACTCCTCGGATGTTGCTGAAACGGCTGCGCACGCAACGGAGGGAGCTGCGCGAGCAATTGGAACAGCGTTGCGATGGCTTTAAAGAGGTCACAGAGCGGCTGCAGAGACTTAGCCTTGTTAGTGAATTGTACAATCACCTAGTTTTCGTTTTTGTCTTTGTCACTGATTACAGCACTTTCAACGGAATTCGAAATTGGCCGAGTCATCGAAGCGGCTGAAATCGCAAATCTGGAGCTCCGTGGTAACGATATTGCTGGTTAAAGCGAAAGATTTGCCGCGGGCCGAGGACGGCAGCAAACTAATTGATACGCATTTTAAGTTCAGGTAAGTGTGAAGCTGCAACAAATTGAAGGTGCAGAAGATTAAGGTTTGGTAAACATCGCCCCCGTAGACTCGGCAATGAGAAATACAAGAGTAAGTCTTCCTGGACTGAACGCTGGTTGGAGCAGTTCGATTTGCACCTGTTCGATGAGGATCAGAATCTGGAGCTGGCGCTCTGGAACCGAAACACAATCTACGGCAAATCCAACATTGATCTGAGCGTGTTCCAGCGCGAGACAACACATGGAATTTGGAAATCCTTCGATGACTGCCCCGGCGAGGTGTTCCTCATGCTGACCATTAGTGGCACCACCGCGCTTGAGACCATCAGTGACCTGAAGGCCTTCAAGGAGGATCCGCGGGAGGTGCAACTGCTACGAGATCGCTATCGTTGGCATCGCTGTTTCCAGAATCTCCGCGATGTCGGCCACTTGACTGTGAAGGTGTTCGGGGCCACTGGTCTCGCTGCCGCTGATATTGGCGGCAAATCCGATCCATTTTGTGTGCTGGAGCTGGGCAATGCGCGCCTGCAGACTCAAACGGAGTACAAGACTCTGACGCCTACTTGGAACAAAATATTTACTTTGTAAGTCCAACACTCAATGCATCTTGCTTGCCTCCTAATAGTTGGTTTATTCTTCGGCAGCAATGTCAAAGACATAACACAGGTGCTAGAAATAACCGTCTACGATGAGGATCGTGACCATCGGGTTGAGTTCCTGGGCAAGCTGGTGATACCGCTGTTGCGCATCAAGAACGGCGTCAAACGCTGGTACACCCTGAAAGACAAGAATCTCTGTGTACGCGCCAAGGGCAACTCGCCACAGGTACAAGACCTTTACGCGCCCCTAAGACTCGATTAATATCGCTCATTATCTCTCACTCAGATCATGCTGGAGCTGACTGTGATCTGGAATGAAGTGCGCGCCGTTTGTCGAGCTCTTCAGCCCAAGGAGGAGAAGCTTATACAGCAGGAGGCCAAGTTCAAGCGGCAACTATTTCTGCGCAACGTCAATCGGCTGAAGGAGATCATCATGGACATTCTAGATGCAGCGCGTTATGTTCAGTACGTAAATTTTATGAGAACCAAAGCCCAACCCCGTCCTTTAATTACTATTAAAATATTGAAAAATTCCTGCATGAAATTATGAATTTGGTGGAACTAAAATGATTTCTTGATTTCGGAAATTGCATTCTAAATAATATAAATGTTTTCTAAAGTAAATTTCCTAATGTTTAGGTTGATATATAGACTAGTTTTTTCTTTTATTGTCACCTTGCAGAAGTTGCTTCGAGTGGGAATCCCCGGTGCGTTCGTGCATTGCGTTCGTTCTATGGATACTCGCCTGTGTGTATGGCGATCTGGAGACCGTTCCCTTAGTTCTGTTGCTCATCATACTTAAGTGAGTAAAGCCGGGGGCCTGTGATCTGGCCACGATTTAAATTTGCCTGCTTTTAGGAAGTGGCTTATACGCCTCATAACAGGCACTACTGACGCAGGCGTTGGCCACTACGACTACGATTACGATGAGGATGATGACGATGACAAGGAGAAGGAGGAGAAAAAGTCAATTAAGGAGCGCTTGCAGGCCATACAGGAAGTATCGCAGACAGTGCAAAATACAATCGGCTATCTGGCCTCATTATGCGAGAGCACTATAAAGTAAGTACCTTCCTAACTGGTCAGACCGGCAAATAATTTGCACACAAATTCAGCTAATTTTGTAAGTAGATGAGAAAGGTAAATCTTTATAATTGGTTTGTGAAGTAGAAATTGACGTTCAAACTTGATTAAGCTATATTGAATCAAGAATAATTAGTTTCATAAAATTCTTGCAGCACATTCAACTTTTCCGTCCCCGAATTGACCTGGCTAGCCGTAGTGCTGCTTCTGGGTGCCATTTTTGTGCTTCATTTCGTGCCATTGCGTTGGATATTGCTCTTCTGGGGCTTCATGAAATTCTCACGCCGCATTCTACGACCCAATACCATACCCAACAATGAACTATTGGACTTCTTATCACGTGTGCCCGACAACGAGGAGATCGTAAGTAACCGCTATTGAGGAGCTAAATCCAGAATTAAATTTCGCCTTCATCCAGAATCAATTTCGTGAACTACCACCGTCGGCGCCCACCGATCAAGCCCGCAGCAATCCCAAAAAGAAACTGAAACCCTCATAGTCCATAACCAGCGCTGACGTGCCGGCGTCCCTGCAGTACAGCGGCACGGGGCAGCGTTCCCAGCCACTGATGCAGCAAATGACGACACGTTTCCGCGCCAACACAGCCCAACTCAAGCAGAAGTTCAACCAGGCCAAGAGCTTGGGGCAATACGATTAGCCACTTATTGGAAACTCAATCTAGATATACGAAGCATACTTGTACTTTACTTCAAATCTACTCAATGGCAACTTAATTAGCTACAAATTCCAAAGCTTACTCGAATACGTCGAAGCAATTTCACCTCAATTATGCACAACAAATTTTATTAAATTATGAATATGTATGAATGTATTTCGTAAGTCAAGCTAACTATTTACACACCTACAATGTATAATACTATACACGTATATATAAATCAACTGCAACAACAACAATACTATCAAGAAAACAAACTGAATTATTGAACAATGCGCAAACACTTTTAAGAGCTGACACTAAGAGCTCTTTAATAATATATGTATATGTATATGTAGTATGTATTATTGTATGTACCTATGGCGAACATTTATTTTTGAAAATCTACTCAAGTATTTACCTACTTAGATGCTTACGAAGCAATTCCCTTATAGCCCTAATTGCAATGCATCCAATTTTATGGTTAATAGTTTTACATTTAAATTTTACATTTGTGATATTTTCTAAAATTTGCAACTAGATGTACTTCGTAACTTGCCTATACAAATATATAGTGTGTATGTATAAATACATACATACATGCAGTAAATCCGTTGAATTCCCATTATATATTTACATACTATTTACTTACAAATCAATTGCTGCACAACATGATTTCTGTTTTTGCAACAAAATGCTTTTTTTTTATATATTAGTATATACATTCAGATATGTATGTATGTATGTAACATATGTATGTATGTAACATATGTATGTATGTACATACCTACTACTGATAATATGGTAACTCATTCGAATTGAAACAAAATTGTTTAAAACATTCTATATATTTATCTGTATGCTGCAAAAACAATTCAAAGAAAATAGAACTGCTGCCCTTACTGTTGTCGTCCCACCAAGTTCGAGGGTCAGCAACTTTAAGGGTCGTTGCACATTTAATCAAATCTATGATATGGGTAAAATTATTTAGATAGTCAAACTATGAATTTTATACTCCACAACAAAGTTTTTATAAAAATTAAAATAAAAATAGCTAGCACCTAAGTTAACTTTGTTATTTTATAAAAATAATGACAAACAAAATTATTAATAAACATATTTTTGGATTCTACTCAAACTGAAAAGTGTTATTGTCGTTTACCTCCGCAGATTGTCGCACCATCTATACTTTCTAATTATGGTTCTTAGGATTAGAGTTGACTGTACATTCTTAGTCTCTTTTTTAATTTAGGTAAAACATTCAGCCTTAGAACCTTATTAGCTTTATTGTTATTTTTAACATACATATATTGCTTTGCATTTATTTTTATTTTATGTATGTTTTAAATATATGAAATGCAGACCAAAATGTTAATTTCATAACTCAGATGGTAAGAACGCTTTTGAAAGTTACAAATTTAAAATTCTATTATTGTCTCCAATCATAATATATATATATATACATATATATGTGCTATGTATATGCTAACAATTTTATTTATCATTTAATTAAATCAGTCGTCGCGTGATGCTAAAGTGTCCCACAACTCTGCTCTCACTAGATCTTATTGGGTTGTGCCTTTACGATCTAACATTATTGCGTCGTTCTATAGTTTTATGTTTGACTCCCCAACTGTAAAGCTCTCGTCGACGACGACTCTCAAACTGTGAGCTTTAAGACTGTGACGTGTGCATACTCGCCACATATTTTTGTTTGTCAATTAGCTCTTGCTGTTCGGTTTAGCTGTTTTTGTTGTCCATACGATATTTTTGTTTACTTGCAAATTGATACTGCAAGGTGGAAATTAACCTGCGAATGTTTATATGTAAATCTAATGCCTTCAAAAGCATTCAAGAACTAGTTATTTGCAGTTCTTTTACTGCATGTAGGCTGCTAGAGGTCTACAAAATAGAAAGCAGCAGGTGTTCCTTCTTGCTTATCAGCATTTGAGATAATTGGTCAGACGCCGATTATGCAATAAGAATAAGAAGACCCATAGAGTTAGGAAGAGAAAAAGTCCATATTATACAAGTACTGCTTTAATAGAATGTAATCAACATTATAACTCATTTCATAAGCTACACAGAAAATAAATTGCACTGCGATAAAATAAATGCAAATAAATCAAAACAGAAAGAGGTGTAGGAAGCCCTATAAGTCAGATTGTTGTAACGAAATGCTTAACTTAACTCGCTATAAATGCAAAACTGGTGTTTTGTTTGTGTGTGTGAACGTCTGCCACTGTCACTGCCAATGTCAATGTCACTGACATATCTACATATGTACATATGTATGCATGTACATATATATTAATGAACACTTAGTTGTACTTTTCGTTCTTCATGAAATCATAGACAACGGAAAAGTCCTTGCTGCCCAGACCCTGTGACTTCAGAGTACGGTAGATTTGGTGCGCCATGGCGCCCATGGGAATTGGTGTGTTGGAGGAGGTGGCCACACCTGAGGCCAGACCCAAATCTTTGGTGATTAGATCGGTGGAGAAGCCACCAGCGTAGTCTCTATTGGCAGGAGCAGTGGGCGTCACACCGGGCACGGGGTTGTACAGCTCGGAAGCCCAGCAGCGACCGGTCGATGAGTTGATTATTTCAGCAAATGTGTGTGGATTCAAGCCCTGACGAATCGCCAGATTCATTGCCTCCGCAACTCCAATCATTGAAATACCTAGCACGATGACGTAAAGAAATCGAAAAGAACATTCATAACCTATATTCATAACCAAGAAATAATCTATATGTATGTACATACCCAGCATCATATTGTTGCAGATTTTAGCAGCCTGTCCCATTCCGTAGGTGCCACAATGGGTGATGCGCTTGCCCATGCACTCAAGGATCGATTTGACGGCATTGTATTCCTCATCTGTGGCGCCCACCATGAAGGTTAAGGTACCCTGCTCGGCACCGGGAACACCGCCAGAGACGGGTGCATCAATAAAACGGGCTCCCTTTGCACTGATACGCTTCTGCAGCGACTTGACCAAATTAGGATCGATCGTGGAGGAATCAATGAAAATTGTGTTCTTGTTGACGCCATCAGAGGTCATCTCCTCGTATGAGGCATTCACGATATCATTGTTGGGCAGCATAGTGATTACGAAGTCGGAGTTCTTGGCCAACTCCGTCGTCTTCGTATAGGCAGTGGCACCCTTAGCAGCTAGACTTTCGACCGCAGGCTTTGAGATGTCGAACACATGCAGCTTGTGTCCGGCCTTTATCAGATGGCTGGCCATATGGTTGCCCATGTTGCCAAGACCGATGAAGCCAATGTTCTTAGAGCCGCCCTGCGTGGACATGCTACGAACAAGGGTCTGGCTCAATGCATTAAGCAGAGACTGCTGGGCGTACAAAACTCGAAGGGACATGATTGCTACAAATCTAGAAATTTCAGTTTTTCATTATTATTAGATTCATGATTATGTAATCGCAAGACAAGAAGCAAAACTATAGAGAAATGTAGTTGTATCAGAAACTTACCAGGAAAATACTAAAGGACGTCTGCAAAATGTTCTACACGATCGAACCACAGCCAAAAGCACACTGTTTTGCTGCGCAGTCAAGAGACGGCAACTAGTGTCACGTAATATGCCGCAAGTGGTTCCAGCGCGTGCCCCCCTCGTTGTTGGAATGGGCAGAGTAGTCGAGACGCCGCCATGTACCAAGAAAAACGTTCTCAATTAAGCTACTTTTCCACCAGTTCTTTAATTCTTCAAATACCGATTGCGGAAGTTCTCATGGCTTTCTTGGTATAGTTATATGGATTGATACATATTACTTCCTTTGTAGCTTGCCTATTATTGTATTATAGCATTGAATATATTGATAACAATATATATAAAGTGCTTCATAGCTATATAGTTGTGCAAAAGACTTCTAAGTATAACAGCAGTGAAATTAAAGATGTTGCAGATTTTATTGCAAGAAGAAAGATAAATTACTTTTTACCAGCACTAATTTATAAGAATTCTAATTTATTTAATTATTTCTACCTTCTTGCAATTCCCGATCTAATTTCTTTTTTTGTTGGTAGAAGAAACTAAATATTGTTAGGCGATAGCTCAAATTGCTTTAGAATCGCCGACAACTCTGCCAGATCTCCGAAAGCTTACGCGTGGCGTGAGCGTTCTGAGCATTCCAGGCAATCAAAAGCTTTTCCACCAGCCGGCCAGCTGGTCTGATTTATGTACAATCTTATGTGTAATGTGTTGTTGCGATACACGCGCCACCACCAAGATTCTATATACATATGTATGTATATACATGAATAATAATAACAAAAACAATATGCTGAATTTTATACAGTAGATATGATTGCCCCAGACCTTGAATTGTTTTTGGGGAGAGCAGCTGGTTCTAAAATATAAGCTTATATGTATGCATGTTTACCAAGTGGGTGTGTCCAAAGCTTGCTCAGTGTAGGTCAGTGATCCTCAAACTGTATGTTATTGATCGCAGTTTTAACATTCCATTGAACATTTCTCAGCTAATCAACTCATTTATTTAAATTTAACTGTTACATTTTGCAATTCTTTGCATGGCATGTTTAATGTTGTTGTTGATTGCTTTTAATGTTTGCGATTTGTTGGTGTAGTTGTTATTGGTTCGCATAAACTGCACGCACTCGTTTCCCAAGATCTGGCCAATTATAACAGTCTGCGTCACTTCTCTGTTATATAATAAGAGCGTCGTTATGCGCTGAATGGCGCCATAAAGAGAGCCATAAAGGAATCAGTTAACATAAAATATACATAGATACTTATATGTATGTAATTGTTTGCATTTATTTACATCGCATTTGTACGTACGATATATTTATACATTTCTATATATTTGTGTCATTTCGCCCGTAACACCTGCGTGGGCAGCATCTTTGTGTTTATGCCCATCTCAACTGAAGAGCGCATCTAATTTGACAAGTTTTTAATATACAAGTACATACATACATACATATGTTCAATAACGAAAGCTTGCAAAAAGAGGTTGTTGGCATACTTATGCCAACAAATAGGCGCCCGCCAAAAAAAAGAGGCTTACATAACCACAAAGTGTACACTTACAATGGCTTGTCAATTGCCAAGACAAACCAACACCTCACCTCAACATTAACCATTTTTTTCTACCCATCCCATAAACTGCAATTCAGCGTGCGCGATTAAAAACAACAACAGTGACAAGGGTCTAAGTGACAGCAAGTACAGCAAAAATTTACACCGAAACGAAAGAGACACGAAAATTTGTGAACCCAAAATGTTAAACGCGTAAGTAGTTAAGTATCGTTCATTGTACGACTATAGAAAGGTGAGAGATGAGCAACAACAACACGACATACATTAATACACAGCAGCAGAGGCAATCGGCACTTGTATCCGTTTGATATTCACACGCATATCAAGCATACGCAGTGGAGCACATATATACATACATACATATACACACATGTGTATGTATGTATGTATGCATGCCTCTCATGCTCGTTAAGCACGCAAAACATTGTGTGCAATGTGTGTGCGATGTGCTTACAACTAATTTCCATTTAAAGGAATGTCAAAACATATAAAAATTTCACCTTCAGCGCACCCACTACAAAATTCAAGCCTTTGGCCTCTGCATGCAATTGAAAATCAATTAATAACAAACTACCTGCCGAAGTGTTAATACCCTTTATAAAGCATGCATTTTTCTTAATTCAACGTGATCTCTGTTACTTTGTGCTTCATTTTACAAAGCAAACTAATATGCATATACTTACGAGTATATATAAGAAGTTAAACATTTTATGGCAACCGGCATACCAAGTTTATTTAATGAAACCAACATACACACACATATACTATATGTATGTAAGTCGACATGTATGTAAGTGATGCTAATAAAGAATTGAATACTCAATCATAATATAAAGCAGTATTTAGCCTTTCCACGTAGGAAAGCCATTTTGATTAACAATCAAATATAAGCAATTTAATTATTTGTTAAAGTTTTAAGTATAGATACTACTGGCTTATGGTTGGAACCTCTGAAGTATCAGTGTGCTGATAATATTCTATTTTATATGTACTCGCAACGTGCAGTAAAAAATTAGAAAAAAAAACTTGCAGAACGACATCATAAAATGGTGGCGGGCAACTTCCTTCTTCGACTAACTTATTCCACTTCCTTACTTCCTCAACAACAGCCAACCCCACAGCATTCAGCAATAATGCTATCATCTCAATTGTATAATTATTTTTTAAGTTTTTAATATCCTATATTATATCCTAAGCTCGGAAAAATTGTAAATAAAGCCACCACACAAAACAAGGTAACAATTCTCTTCTTTGGCAAATTTGCCAGTAAATAGTCAATGATTACAGCTGCACTATCAGGCTGTTTAAAAGTCAAACTAAATAACAACTGTTGTATATAATATATTTCTATTGCTTCTCGGCATCCTTGAATTGCATTTTGTAAATGATGTGTTAACTATTTCGCAAGTGATCGTGATATGGCTCTGCCGCTAAATGCTGGCAAACTATTTTTAATTCCAGTAGCACGTACGTGTATTGAAGAAAACGATTAGAAATTGTTAAAAATATATAATTGGAGGTGAAATTTCATTTAGTTTTTAGGGCTTTTTTATTATTTCGTTGGTATTTGAGATCTGATTTGATTATGAATTAAAGAAAATGTTAATTATTGGCTTTCGCTACTTTGTTTTTAGCCAGAAAAATTCATGCTTCATTGGATAAAAATGGTAGGGCATTACTAAGAGATAATGCTTGACGTTATAATTATAAGGTTTTTTAGTGTAAGCAGAGGGAGAGCCAGAATTCGGATTTTTAAGCAAACTCCAGAGTTGCACTTACTGCGAACCTGCTTACATGCTCTCTGCTCAGTTGCTTTATTTTAAGAAGGAAGGGAATCCATATTCATATGTTTGAGAATATAGACTAAATCTAAAGTACTAAGCAATGCAATTCTTTTTGACTATCAACATAATTCGATTGCTAGGAATATTTTTATAAATACAAGCTTGGAGTTTATTGGGTTCTATTTCCATGGATGAATACCTATATATAGCTTATTAGGTCTTGCAACTTGCTTTTCTTCTTTTCCTATAACTATAAAACTACCTATGAAATACCAGTTCAATAAATGTAAAACTTGGTTTCTAATTCATGCAAATAGCATTCCAAAAGCTCGAGATAGATTGCAGATGCGCCTCCCTATTATGATCATCAATAATGTGCCGCTCTCACACCTTCTCTTCGAAAGCGAGAGTGAAAATGTTGCCCACTATCAGGAGGGCAATACCATCCAATTGATTGTACCCGGAGCCAAAGCTAAGCCGCACTAATTCACACTTGGACATGGTGCATATGGACCCAACCTAAATTAACATGCCACCTGAAAACCACTCTAAAAGAGTTGGAGGAAAAAATAAATGTCTAAATTGAAATGCAAAGCTGCATCGACACTCACATGAGTGCGAACGCATAGGCCGTCAAGTCATCGATGATGGGGCACTGGCGATGGCGATGGTGCTGGCACTGGCACTGGCACTGGGCGCCGGCCAGCACTACCAAATGGGGAAAAGAAAGTGATAGTGACAGACATTGGTTGACGCTTCGATATCGGGCATGATGTGTAATAATTTCTAAGGCAGCCACAGCTAAACTGCGTTTGTTTTCTTTCATTACTCTGCATGCATAATTATTATGCGGCAGGTGGAATTACAAATTTTCACACACACACACACACGTGTTCACTTGTATATATGTATGTAAGTAAATAATTTACAAGTCGATGCACATACATAGTCTTCAATGTGCATGTGTATGGCTGTGGAAAAGGGCGCTTGCAGGCCTAAAGTTGTTCAGTTTTGGTCAATCATGCGAAAGTGTAGAGAAATTGAAAATGATGTTGAAAGTGGTAAAATTATTTGTTGATCGACTGTCTGACCGGCAGGTAGATAGACATTCCACGTCGCCTTATTCAAGCAAATGTTTTGTGGCAGCAGCAGTTTTGGCCATCATGTTACAAAATTTTAATTGCAGCAGTTGAAAAAATGGAAAAACAAAATTGTTTAGTTAACCCAAATTCAACAGCACACATGAGTGTGCGAGTATTAACAAAACAAGGAAGGAAACCCAGGCAGCAGCAATTTGGCGCTGCTGTGGCTACCCGAGGCGGCAGACTCGCAGCAGTAATCCAGTTTTAAGTAACTGCGAGCAGTAGATTTGTCCAACAGGAAGCGTTTTGCAGTCGCAGTCGCTGTCCCAGCCTAGCATGGTGCAGTTTGCAGTGGGATACTATTTTGGCCAGCTTGTAGTATATTGCTGCAGCGCCACAAAAAGTGGTTGCAGTTTCGTACGCCTAAATAAATAGCCAGAGGTTCGATGCGTTGGTCGCTTTCGTCGGGAATTGCATAATGCCAGCCAGCTAGCCAACCAGCGCGATTTATGTCTTCTTGTCAAAGTTGCGTCAGTAAAGCTGTCGATGAGTTTTCCTGGAGACCCAACAACTCAGATCAAAGCGGCAAATCAAGTCAAAATATGCCAACAGATATAGATCAACATATTTTCAATTTATACGGCTAAGAGAGTGGTTGAAGAATACCTAAATTATCACATTCG